TAGGATCGCCAGGCACCATGAGCCCTGCTCCCTTCCAAGCATGCCTACCATGTGCCCTCATAAGCTTTCTGCAGCAGGGCACTTCATCGGACGCATGCATATGATAGGAAGCTCGAGGCTTGCATGCAGCCGACAGCGATAAACAACTCGTAATTTCTAGCTTTCGGGGGCACCTTGGGAGTCTGTCTGTCTGTCTGACAGGCTGAAGAGCGGCGTAAAAAGGCTATAAATAAGTTCTGTGTGGGGCAGGGTGCAGTGCGAGCGGTGAGTCACTTCCCCTGGCAGCGCTCCCCGACGCCCGGTGCGCTCGCCCGGGTCTCACGGAGCGCTCTGGGGGCAGGCCGGGCCGACACCGCCCTCCGCGCGTGGCCTCGCCGGCGCCCCCTCGAGGCCGCCGCGGCCGCTGCGCGCGAAAGGAGCGGGCGTCAGGCTTGCCGGAAGCGCCGCCTGCCCGGGCTCCGCAGGCGAGGCGCACGCAACGTGGTGCCGGCTGGCGCTGGCCTGAGCCGAGCGGGCGCGCGGAGCCGGCTTCTGCTCGCGGCGGCTGCTGCTGCTGCCGCCGCCGCCGCCGCCGCCGTCGCGCGTTCCCTCCCTTGCCCGGCCGGCCGCAGCCCCGCGGAGCCGGCCGCCGATGGAGGCGCTTCCCGTCGGGGAGGAGAGGCAGAACCCGCTGCGCGATGCCAACTTCTGCTCCCGGCTCTTCTTCTGGTGAGTGGCCGCGGCGGCGGCGGCGGCGTCCTCCCGCCCCGCTGTGATCGCGCCCCGCCGGAGCAGCCTCCCCTTTGCCCCGCTTTGGCCGCGATCTCTGCCGGGGCCTCGGGCGCCGGCTGCCTTGAGCAGATGGACAAGTGGTCCTCGCGGTGGCCGTGGCAGCGTCCGGCATGGGGCAGGGATTATTCCGAAAGCGGAAGAAGGCTCCCGGGAGCTTTTTCGACGACTGGGGTCACTTTACTTATGTGTTAGATTTATATCCCGCTTTCTTCCGACGAACTCAGCGCGGCTTATATCATTCTCCTCCTGCTCTTTCATGTTCGCGCTCCTCCGTTCAGCCCTCGACGGCGAGAATCAGTGCGAGCGCCCGTGCGCTTATTTGTTTATCTGTGTATTTATTAAAAGCTTTTCTATCCCGTCCCCTACGGAGCGTCTCGGGAAGGCTTGCAATATGTAGAGTGCAGTGCCTGTGCCGTGTGAACCCAGCGCTGCCCGCAGGTCGGGCTAGCGGCTCGTCGGAGCGCCCGGCAGCCTTTCTGCCATCGAGGCGCAGACAGCTGGGACGCGGCGGCTGCGGAGGCTTGAGCTCAGCCGCCCGTCGTCAGAGGCAGGAATCGCTGCTCTCGAGCAGGGCAGGCGAAGCCATGTGGGATGCTTGAGTCCTTACTCGGAGTTGCCTGTGGGTCGGCGTGCAACTTCTGGAGTAAATGGTTTTGACACTCTTGGAGAAACTTATATTAAGTAAAGGGGCTGGCTTGAAATCATGCCACTTGAAAATGTATTGAGCTGTTCCGTGGGACTGGCCAAGAAAGTGTTCCACTGAAAAGCGATGTGAACGTGGCTTGTAAATAGCTCTCTCCAGCACTTTATCTGTCCATGAGCCACACTTTGACAACCCATAAAAATTGTGCTGAGTGGCTTGGATGGCATGCTATGCCAACCCAAGAACAAACTGTCCCAAACAACTCTCCTGCAAGCTCCTGGTTCTCATGGTGGCTTGTTTGCATGAAATTACCCATGTTGAAAAAACATTGTAGGTTCAGATGTCACACTAAGCCACTCTGCTGTGGGTGAGTAAGTGGAATCTTTCTGTTAAGCCTGTTAGGGCATAATCTTATGCAAGTTTGTGAGAAGAAAATTAGTACATTTTCTCAAGGGTGGATTTATTTAGAGTGATTTAAACCGAGAATCCCCCTCCTTTGATTTATCCAATTTAATTTAAATCAAATTTCCCCTTTTGCAATGCATGCATTTCCTGGACAAGGAGTATATGCTAATTAGTTGGCTGTATCAAATTAAAACATTATAGTTTGCATTGAAATAGAGCTTTTATAGTCTTAAAAGCACAATCCAAAACTGTAGTCATTTAGTTCACTCCCCTAACAACTATACAATTAGATCTGTTTAGAAATAGAAGGACTCTAATGCATTTGCGTTTGGCTCTGTGTATACCAAACAAGATCATTTACTTGCAGTAAAGGCCCAGAATCTGGTGCAGAATTAGATGAAATGCAGACTGCTTCTAGAAATGCTTTGACATTGCAAGACAAAAGTAGATTTGTTCTGTTAGACCGAAAGTTTCAATTGATAGAGTCATCAGTATTCATCATTTTTATTTTTTATTGCAAGTCGATGCTTAGTCATGCGTAATCTTGACCGCAGGTAAAATATTTTTCCTTTAATCAGTGTGCTTGATAAAGGGTCATGAATTCAGCTTTAAGAGCGAAATGTAGCTCATATTTACTGGTATTAAATATAAATTTAATTTCAAACTAGGGTGAAAGAAATCTGGTTTATTATCCATTTTTCTCCATATTTTAAAACTTGTTTTTACCCACATTAGGTAGCATTTTGTGAGGAGGGGAGACACATGTTCACAAACTGGTGGGACACATGTGCCAGGATTAGCTGCAGTTCCTGCACACAGTTTTATTGCATGTTTTTCATCATAAGTTAATGCTCTTCTTGGACAAGGTGGAGAAACAATCTCATATTTTTTCTAGGACTACTCATTGCTCTCTTCTTTTTATTCTGTGGTGTTGCTGGGCCCTGTTCTTGACTATTTAATTGGGAAGTACTTCTTTCCAATTAAATTAAGTACTTTAAGTAATTATTTTTAAGTAAATATTTTAAGTAATTGTTTTTAAGAACTACTTCCTCACACAGTGCATTGTTAATCTATGGAATTTACTGCCACAGGAACCAATGTTGATGGCTTTAAAAAGGGATTGGGCAAATGGATGGAGGAGGCTACCAATGGCTGCTGGCTTTGCTGGCTATATGCTGCCACTGTTATCCAAGATGGGCAGGTGGAGCGTTGTACCTTTCCGGCCTGAGTGATCCTGCAGGCAGCTGGTTGCTGTCATGTGAATGGAGTGCTGGACTGGATGGACCATGGGCCTGAGCCAGCATGACTCTTCTTAGCTTCTTCTTAGTCCTTCCTCATTCAGATCATGCCTCTACCATGAACCCAGTAGGTGGCCCTAGAGTTTAGGGTTGTTGTTGTGATGTGCTGTCAAGTCATCTCTGAATTGTGGCGACCTATGAATGAAAGCTCTCCAAAATCCATGACAGCCCTACTCAGCTCTTTCAAATTCAAGTCTGTGGCTTAATTTATGGAGTCCATCCATCTCATATTTGGTCTTCCTTTCTGTCTTCTGCCTTCAGCTTTCCCTGGCATGATTCTCTTAAGGCTTCTTTTTTCTTTTTAGCCTCGGTTCCCTGTCTTCAATTTCAAGCAGACAATAGCATTAACCTGGCACACCAGGCAATCTATACTACAGGGTAACGTATAAGAACTTTGTGCACTTTTTGAAATTAGCTGGTATCATTGACCACATTGGCATGTCGCAACAACCCCTGAATTCTAAAGAATTCAGACTTATTGTGAATGAGCTAACATGCTGGTATTGCTCGTGTTACAAATGAAAATAAACTATGGCCCTTCCATCTGTAAGTTGTACCATGAGGTGTGAACTGAGAAAAGCCGAAATCCTGAGCCATGGTTTGTCTTGGACTTAGGACTCTGGTTTGTCTGAGGAGAGACCATCCAGATTTCCTAGATTGCAAGTCATGCTGAACCATAGATGGGAAATGTACAGGTATTTTTGGCTGGTTCCAACTGCTCACAGGATGAGCCAAGCCGAAGGGGCCAAGCAGCGTGCAGCCATCTCATTCACAATCAGCTCACAACACTTTGGAATTGCCAGAATGAGCCAGAATACCCTGAGCCTTATGTCTTATCAATGGCTCCACCAAAGTGGAATTTCCACACGTTTTTTCATATTTGTAAGGAGCTACTTTGAAAATTGGGAAAATGGTGTGTAATACTCTCCTTTGGTGTCCCTTCCTTAGGTAAACCAATCCTCTAAAGAAGGGTACAAATGATTCTCCTGATTTCTAGTATGTGTAGTTATTTGTGTGTGTGTGACTGTTAGCTTGGAGCCGCAAGCTACCTCCAAGATCAAAGGCAGTGTGTGTCTACCTGTTGTTGTTGTTTTAAATAATGCGATGGAAAAGTGGTGGTTTTGACTCAGAGGACCTTCCCACAGTTCCTCAAGAAGTAGAGAGCTCCATTAGCAGCTTCCCTCCATCTAGGCACACACAAACAGACCCATGCTAATGTGGCATGTGTATTTTTGTGTTGGTTCTGGCAGGTGTGTCATTGGAGTACGATTACACAGTAGTACCATCCACACAAGGAGATGATGATGATGATGATGATGATGATGTCCTAAGGGCTAACATGCATCATCATAGTTCCCCTCCACTGAAGTACAGCTGGAGGCTAATTCCAAAGCTGCCTACCAGATTGCTCCTGTAGGTGCATCCTTCTCCGTTCTGCTCTGATGGGTCACTTGCGTTCGTTTGCATGCATTGCCTTGCGGTTGCAGGTTTTCTGCCTTCATTCTGATACACACTTCTGGAAGGGAATCGTCTTCCTGAAATAAGTCATGGAGCATAGCTTGGTTTTTCGGCGCCAGGTAAAGACCTTTTTATTTAAACATCATTTCAATTGTTAAAACATATGATCTGGCCTGGGCAACTTCTTCTTCCTTCTCTTTCTCCTCCTATATTTTTATTTTATACTGATAATTTTAATTTTGTATTTGTAAATCAATGTATTTTTTGTATTTTTATATTTAATGGTAATTTATTATGTACTATTGTATTTCCATGTATTTTATCATGTTGTAAGCCGCCCCGAGGTTTCGGCAAGGGGTGGCATAGAAATGTTATAATAATAATAATAATAATAATAATAATAATAATAATAATAATAAAGTGATTTGATGCCAGTGCCCACGTGTTCTCCAGTGTGTGCCAAAATGGAGCACAGCAGTCGATCCAGACTGTAGTGGATGGCAGTTTGCAAGGGCCTGTTGAAGGTGCGCGGTCCGGACAGCACAGCAGAGGTCTGTCTGCCAGGCAGTAAGCGCTGTTGAACAAATTGGGGCGTGGGTCTGTGTACACATTTGTAGGAGTGGCATCACTTACTTTATTGTACATGGCATAAGAAGCTGAAATTCATTTGCCAGTGGCTTTTTGGTGAAAGGCCTAGAACTGATGCAGACCACGCCTCCGTGGCATTGTGCAATAGACCCAGATGGGCTCAGGGCCTGTCTGCACTTAGGTCTATTCAGTAAACACTGAGGAATAGCCATGGGGCCCTCTGAGAAACTGGCCAAGGCTGGGTCGTATGTCATTCATGCTGAAGCTGTTTCAAAATCTCAGATTCTGCACTTGGGGTGGGAGGAAAGATGTTGGCGTGCTTATTTCTTTGAGGAGGTTATTTTACTTGTAATATTTGGCCTTGCAAAGAGTTTAGAAATGTGTGCCAGGGATTAGAGTGGGATGACCTTGAAGGGGAGAGGGCACAAGGGGTTAGATGAGTTAATTGTAATAGGCAGCATTTTTGTGTATTTAAAGTGTTCCACCGTTATCTCCTGATCTTTTTGCACACAAAAATTGCATAAGCTTTTGGGATCTCCAAATCTCTTAATCAGGCAGGACGTTGCGAAAAGTAGATGTGTCTGTTTGTGTGTGGAGGTGGCAGGGGAAGGAATATGGAAAGAAAAAGAAAAAAAGAAAAATGTTAGCATCTGACTTGATGGTGAATCCAGGGTAACCGTGCATTCAGAGTCCTAAGATTAAGTAGGAGGGGAAGTATCTGCAGATACGTAATAAGGTCATGTGATGGTGGCAGGCTGGACCTGCAGCTGGCTTTAGGTTTGCTGTGGGAACCAGAAAAGGGCTAGGGTTATATAGGGTTAGGATTGTATATATTCCCAGCTTGGTGAATATAGTCAGTCTGTGTATTAACGGAGCTGTAGATAATTTTCAATGCAGTACTAAGAACAAAGAATATTACTTCAGATCTAGTTTAAAGAAGATCATTCGGATGAAACATTTTTCAGTTCCTATGCCTTCATGTTTGGAATAGATGAGAGAAAAGGTTGAAACTTAAATATAATAGTAAAACCTTGTGGAGGGATGATTAATAAGTCTCCTGCAGGCTGCCTGGCCTTCGAAGGCTACATTCCTGCATTCCATGATTGAGCAATGCACTGCCAAAATTGTGCACACCAAAATGGTAAAATATATATTTTCCTGTAAATAAAAGGGTGCTTGGAGGGAAGTGACTGGGGCTATAGGACAACCTGTTTCCTGGACAACCTGATTCTCACATGATGCATGCATGGTTGAACTTGGTGAACCATATCCCTGCTTCTGAAAACTACCTCAACAAGATGGGCAAGGATCAGAGAAAGCACCTTTTAAACGGATCCTTTGCTTAGGCTAGGATGTTAAAAACCTAGACCTCTCCATTGTTTTCTGGTAGGCAACACTTATCTCTACCCAGGGGAAAAGCAAAATAGCTTCAATAGGAATCAGAAAGTTCCATCTCCAGACAGTTGAATTGTTCCTATGTTTTCCTATTTCTGTATTTACTTTAGTATAGAACTTAGAAGGCATTTCTGCTTCCCACACATTAGTAATAACCATGGGGCTCAACTTTGGTCTGAGAAAGAGCCATAACTTCATCAGGGCCTGAAGATTTTTCATTGTATCTTTGGATATACAACATCTACAGCAAGGATACTGAATCTTAAGAAAATCTGGCCCAACTTTCCCTCTGGCCATGTCCCTTTCCCCAGGCCGAGCAATTTTCCTCCAAACACCAGTTGCTTGATGGTTTTCCCATTTTTGGGTAGTTTTTTCTTCATTCTGAAGACATAGTACTGTCCATTCCGGTTTCCCCAAGCCACTCACTTGTGGCCCTTCAGATGGTTTGTCCTACAGTTCCCATAAGCCCTAGTCAGCATATCCAGGGGTAAGGAGTGATGGGAGCTGTAGGCCAAAACATCTGGAGAGCTATGAATTGGTCGTCACTGAATGGAGTTCCTCTAGGCATAGAAAGGAGAAGCTGGCCACCTGCCTTACGGATCATGCGTCTCCTCTGTGGTAGGGAAACTAAGAAAAGTGCACATTAGCTAGTTTCTTGCTCAAGAGTTTCATGTTTATATGCTGAACCAGATATTTGTCTAGTTATTTGGGAACAGATGTCTCTCAAGCCTTGTAACATCTCATCTTTCCCCATTTCTCCCCCCACCCCCCACATCTTTTTAAAAAGATGTGTTGTTTGTGTTAACTCGGCAGACTTGCAGCATCTGGTTCTCAAGGCCGAATGTACTCGATTGTCGTGGCCAACCTTAATACCCTTTGTGACTTGTGTAGCTAGTTTTCATCGTTCCCTATTTTGTATTTCTGGTGACAACAAGTTAAGATCCACAAGAGTCAAATTCCACTTGTTTGGCTTTGCAGAACCAGTGCTAGTTTATAGGCTGCTATTTCTGGGATTGATTTGAAAAGGCTGTTGCGGTTTGGCATGTTTGGGGGCAGTGGCTTTGGAAAATGTAGATCGAGATCATTGTTGTTTTTAATATTATGAGCAGTTCTTGTGAGCTAAGGCATGGGTGAATTTCTTTTGCTGTATTTATATGTCCTCTTGTTTGATCTTGCGTAGGAGTGACTTGTGATCTTCCAAGCTGAGCACAGCTTACCGGCCAGATGCCTGACAACCTTTCATCTCTCCTCGAAAACTTCTTCCAGTTTTTGCAAATGGCAGCAAAAGAGGTCTGCTGGAATCCCAACAGGCCGCCTTGCCTCACGCGCACGCTGCATTTAGTGTGGTAAATCACAAGAGTTGGACTAGCCTAGTCTAAACAGTCCTCACTGTTTGGAAGTGTTGCTGGACTTACCACCTAATTAAGGATGTGTTTGCTTGGAAGTAGGTCGCAATGATCCCGGTTTTGACAGCTAATCCAGCCTTCCCAAAGCTGGCACATTTCCCATCAGCCTCATCCAGCATGCCCCAGGATGTTGGAAGCTGTAGTCCAATACATCTGGAGCATTCCAGTTCTGGAACAGTGAGACTAGTTCCTTGCATGCAAATATTGTCCATGCAGGTCATTAGCAGTGATTTCTATCTGATCTCCTAGCACTTCCTGGAGAGGTGAGGGGAAGGAAGTGGGTCAAAATGGGGCCTTCCTCCCTGGGCAGCACCTTTGGCACACGTTTCCAGACCCCCTGGCCATTCAGTCTAAACGAATGCAAGGAGTGAATTCTATTCCTTGGGAAACAAGCAGTGGCTGAGATAATATTCCTTCTAGGAAATATTAATAAATAGCATATTCATTCCAGAAAACTCTAACCCTAAGCCCACCTGAACCCAAAACATAGCCTTAGTTCATTTATTATATTTAAATCCCACCTTTTTTTCCTCTTCCAAGGAAATTAAGGTGGCTTACATGGTTTTCCTTCTTTGCTTCATTTCATCCTCACAACAACCCTGTGAGGTAGATCAGGCTGAGAGTCAGTGACTGGCTCAAAATCACCCAGTGAGTCTCATGGCTGAGCGAGGACCAGAAACAGGCTCTCCCAAGTCCCAGCCATCACTCTAACCACTGTGCCACACTGGTTATGTCAGATGTGGAGCAGGCTCGGGAGTGAGAAAGCCATAGAAACGGAAGGAGCTGCTCCATTCCAGAACTCCTGAATGAGGCCCCTTGGCAGTATGGAATTCACCTGGCCACCTGCTTGACTACGCCAGGTGCTGCAGTCTCCTGTTTGCAAGAGTGTTGTATAATGAGCACAGAGACTCTCGCTCTGCCACTGAATGGAGCCATGCCAAACCAGGGCCCAGCAACTTGAGGCCCTCCAGGGGTAGCTGGACCGTAGGCTGGGCTGTCTATGGCTGATCGGAATTGATGTCCACCAGCACCTGGCAGGCCATACTGCGCGAACCCCTCTTCTGCTGTATGAGTTTCCCCGCTCCTTTTAATAATGAGCCCACAGAGTCAGCCAACAGAGGTTTGATGCTGGGTTGGAAGTACTGCCAGCAGGTAGAACAGGTATAGACAACACACAGCCTTCCAGGTAGACTACAGCACCGTTCCACAAGCCTGCCTGGTCTGTAGTCAGGCATAGTCCAAACAGCCCAAAACTGCTGGAGGGCACCAGGTTGCCTATTCATGAGCTGAATGAGTGGGAAGACATTTCTGTTTTTTTCCTTAGAGCCACAAGGAAAGTGCTGACCATGGCAGCAACCTAGTGGAAGGAAGGGCTGGTCCCATGGTGAGGGCCAGGGGGTGGGAACCATGCTCTTAAAATCCTATCCTTTCCAAGCTTGAATAGAAGAGAGCATTAAAGCACCACTAATTAATAAGCTAAGCAAGAAAGACTTCAGTGAGAGTAAAGCCCTTGAGGGGTAATTGAAAGTCCAAAGGGCACTGAGTCAGAAAAGCTTTAGAACACAAAGCTTCTCACAGAAATAACGCCCCCCCCCTCCTCCTGCCTGTTTCTCAGGGCAGATACAGATTAGGGAACAAAAATGAAGGTAGTGAGAAGAAATACCAGCCCGGAGGAAAGACTTCTTTACTTGCTATGACACCAGCAGCTCATTTGGGTCAAAATAGCAAATTGCAGTTGATTTTCGGGTTGTTAGGAGTTGCAGAATTAAAAGGGTTTTTTTTTTCTAAACCCTTCTTCCTTTTGGAATCCAGCAGCTGAATCAGAGGCTGAATACCAGTGGTAAATGAGCTGTTTGTACGGTGCCTCTGGCATAAGCTAGTCACTGGTGTCATCCTGGAGAGCGGGAAGAGAGCTTTACTTTCCTTTTGAACCTGATAAAGAAGCGAGGGAGGTGCAGACTTCTTCCCATCATTTGGCAGGGCATGTGGCTGACATGTGGTTTCATGCACACGTTCATAGAACCACAGATACGGAAAAGATAATTTAGGCCGTGGAGTCCAACTCGCTGCTTTATTCAGGAACTCAGCTTGTCTCTGCTTGAATTGTTCCAGTCGTGGAGAGTTCTGTTGCCTGACTGCTCTGACCCTTAGGAAGTTTTACCCGGTGAAATATAAATCTCTCTTCGTATCACTTAAGCCTGCTGTTGCGTGTCTTACTTTCTTGGAAACAGGTTGTTCCTTCCCTTCCCTGGGTCAGCCCTTATTTAGTACTTCCAAACCTGGGAGCTGCATTCACAGTTGGATGATGAAGCACATAAAGAAGAGGCTAAACATGCAGCAAAACCTCAAAACTAGCATTGATAATGTGTATTGCAAGCTGTTATTTATTTCCATTTCTACTGCATGGGAAGGGATCACCGACTTTAACTCAGCCTCCCATGATAAAGACGGAAATGTGCCTTCGTTACAAATGTTACAAATTGCTTGGACTGAGGGGATGACCAGTGAAGAAGTATTAAAGTGAATGCTTAAAGACCAATAAAACAGAAAATTAAAATATTTTGGTCATGTCATAAGAAATTGGAAATGGAGATCATTGCAGCTGATTATTCAAGGATTTCTTGCCTGAATCACCTTAGACTTAGAGAATGGGTTAGGGGCGATGCAACATCATTATCTGGAGTGCCCACATCTAAGGACAATCTAGCCATGAAACTTAAGAGAAGAAAGGAAGAAAGTATTATAAACTGTCCTTTAAGCAAACTTAATGTGTTTCTTTCCTTTGTCAGCTATTGTTTGGTATTCACATTGTTACAGTTAAACTTTAATTTGTTTTGGTTTAGTGCTTTAGTTTACTTTAAATTTTGATTGCCTTGTAAATGTGGCAGTGGCTTAGATTTTAGAACAGAAAGTTTAATGGAATTAAGTTTCACTTTACTGTCATTCTTAATGCATTGATCAGTTTTCCACTGATTGCAAAATTGTAAGGGCTTATACAGCTGAATACAGTGGGTTATTTGTACAAATGACAGTGCCTGACATTCATTTTAAAACGAATAAGAAATGCGAAAGGTGTTCAAGCGACAAACTCTGTATGGTTGTAAAGGTCCTCAGAAGCAAGGGTCCTCACGCTTTTTGGACCCATAGGCACACTGGGGAATTTGAGAAGCTCCTGTGGGGCCCTCACAAAGAGTCGCTGCAGTGCGGGGCTGGCTAATCTGTTTTGACCACAACAGTTGTGCCTGTTGAGGAGAGAGAAATGACGAGGCTAGAAGCTGGAGGAGAGGAAGAAATCGCTAAGTAGAGAGGAGAACATGCACGAGACTTGAGGGGGGGAAGATGGGGACTGGAATAGCGAAGGCAGGGCCCAGGAGAGAAGGGGAATGGGCCAGGCAGAAGGGGTAGAGGGGAGAGAAAGAGTTAGAGGAGGAGGAAGACTGCCCTGGCATTTTTCAAGATTTCTCTTACAGCCTTTTTTTAAAGGGGCAAAAAGTAGAGTGCTTGGCAGGCCTTCACGGGGTGGGGAGACTCCGAGAGCGCTCCGTGAGGTCCCCTGACTGGGCTCCAGAGTTTGCATGCAGCAGCAGAGAAGCCCAAGTAGGCCCCACAGCAAGCTTCCCCAGCCGGTTGCTCTCAGATTTATTGGACTACAGCTCCCATCATCAGCAGTCAACAAAAGCAATGGCCAGGGATGATTTTAGCTTTCGATTTATTGCATTTATGCGTATATCCTTTCTTTCCTCCCAGAAGGAAGCCCAAGGAAATTCTTATTCTTTTGTTTTACTCTCACAACAGCCTTGTGAGGTAGGCTAGACTGAGAGTTGGTGCCTGGCCCAGACTCATCCAGCTAGCTTCAGGGCTGAGGGCTAGAAGCAGGCTTCTCAAGTCCCAGTACAACGTTGGCTCTGATGGGAGGTGTAGTCTGATCTCCAGACAGTGCCAGGGTGGGAAAAGCTGCCCATAGGGTTTTTCACCTGGTTTGAGGAATCATCCCAGAAGATGCTGAAGGACTAGGAGATTTGTATGGTCCCTTAGAGACTCTGGCACTGCAAATTTCCATATAGCTGTAGCTATCTAGATCATTAAAAGCACAGCAGTAGCAACAAGAGCAATTCATGTGAATTACAAGAATAGATGTATTTACATTCATTTACATACACACATTATTCTGTAATTGTTTACGTATCACTTATGTGTCCGTACACCCAGATTCAGACTTCACAAAACATTTCCCCCTATTTTAAGAGTTACTTGTAAAGTTCTCGTCTCCTGATTTCTTTATTGATCAGTTAGGATTTTGCGGTAGGCTGTGGGGAAAGTCTGCACGGTTGGAAATATGTAAATAATGTATGTGTGAAGGGATATTAACCTGTGACCTGCTCTGGGTACTGGATTTCTACTTTTCTGACTATGTAAGCCAGTATCTTTGAAAGGGGTGTGTGTGTGTGTGTGTGTGTGTGTGTGTGTGACAGAGAGAGAGAGAGAGGGGGAGAGAGAGAGAGAGAGAGAGAGAGAGAGAGAGCGCGCGAGTGAGAGCGAGCACGAGCGTGTGATAGAGAGAGAAACCATACAATTGACTTTTATAAAGTTATGTCTTACTGTTTAAACAGGTGGCTGAATCCTTTATTTGCTACTGGCCATAAACGGAAACTAGAAGAAGATGATATGTATAAAGTGCTTACGGAAGATTCCTCGAAAGTGCTTGGAGAGGAATTGCAATCGTAAGTAGCCACCTGTTGGACCTTTTCTCTTGTGCAGCTTAGGTTCTGTGCCATGGCCTTTCGTCCTTTCCAAATCGAATGACTCTTGAATTGTATGAGGGAGAAACTTTTAGTATTGGGATGGCGTATAAAAACTTTAAATAAAATAAGTAAAACTTTAAATAAATGAATAAATAAATCTGATTGGCATGTTTCATATGTAATAACTGTCCTTGGGTTTAACAGCTCATGGTGAATCAGGGCCACGTGGCAACTAGTGAGTCTGTCGCACTCCGCACACTCACCACTTCTGTCGTTTTTTGCAAACACAAAACAATCCATGCGTGAGTCCAGCATGATTTACTTTGCTGTTGGGTTAAAACTCCAGATTGCGTCTTTCTCGACACCCCAGAGTGCCAGGTTTGCATGGCTTGACAGTGATCCAGGAGTCAGTGTTTTATCCCACCTGTTTTCTCTTGCTCTGCATTGTAGCACTTGTTACAGGGCAGGTTTATATGAGTGTGTGTGTGTGTGTGTGTGTGCGCACGCGCGCATGCACGTGGGAAGAGTACACTGAGAGAGAGAGAGAGAAGGATGTGTGTACAGATATTCAGTTTTCAGGTTTCTCCAGTATTTGAAGTGTCTTGGGCAATGCAAAAGCTGATAAATTGCTTTCTTTGTGTTGAGAAAATGCCTTAACGGGCGCTAATGTCTTTGTCAGTAAGTGTGTGAGTGAGGACAGTTGTTTTCACATTATGTGCAAATATGTGTCAGCATTGTGTAGCCTTATTTGACTAACTGGGTGGGGATTACATTGGAATAGAGTTAACATAGCTGAAGATGGTTAAAATCAATGGCTTTAATTTCACTTAAATCGGTTTTAGATTCTGGCTAGTGAATTTTACTAATTCCTGTTTTGATATTTTTTCACATTATGGAAACTTTAAGAGGCTACATAGGTTTTGAAAAGTGTGTGTTGAAATGTTTTTACATATTTTAAAATATGTTTAAGCAGAATATTTTAATCTCAGCTCCTTGCGATAAAATATTGGACTGTAGCTTTACAGAAACAATTCTCCTTTTAATCTACCAGGATGAGCAGTGGCAACTTTTTATGGGGGAGGGTCATATATCATTCTAATTTTAGTGAGTCCGAACTTTCATTATGGAACTAAAGTCCATACAGCTTTAGTTGGCTGCAGTTCTGTGCTCAAGCTGCAGAAAATAAATATTCTTCCTCTTGCACATTGTTAGTCAAAATTTTGCCTGATTAAGGATCGTAAGTGAAAGATACCTTAAACGGTTCAGTCATATGCAGCTGCTGTCCACACAGATTAACACCTCGGAATAATAACAATATTGGCATCTGGAATAGAATCTGAAATGCCGTTCTTTTTAGGGAGATGCTGGCAGTTTTTTTCTGTGGACATGTGTAGCCAGTCTAATGGTGCTGACAGCACAAGTTGGCTGGCTTTGAACTGATAAGTATATTGAATAAATGGAACTTTGTTTTGTGAAAACAAAGCATGTAACTTTCAGAGCCTAATCAGTACTCGCAGAGCCTGTTTTTAATAGGTTTCTGAAGATCCTGATTAAGGTGGATCCTTCTCTTCATTCTGGCCATATTCTGGCCTGGGTTATTGAACCTCAGAACTCCAAGCCTATTTATTTATTGGATTTAAATCCTATTTTTTTCTTAGAATGAACTCAAATGAATAATTTTGTCTTCATCCAGTCCCAATTCTCTCCCTCCAGGGTGCTGCAAGTGGGTCCTTCCCCATCTCATCAACCATTTGATGGTTTCCCAGCTTTGGGGCAGTTTTTTCTCCAATTTAAAAGATAGAAGTGCCTGGAAGAAAGAGCTCTAAGCGGAAAAATGTTAATGTTTTGGCACCACGCCTTTTCTGCCCTTCCCAACACTGGACGTGGTTCCATAGAACTTCTCCAGAAATGGAATTCAGCCCTTGCACTTAAAAGAGTCATCACCTCTGTTATTCGTCATGCCGCAGGTTTCAACTTCTTTGAGAACTAGGCCTTTGTTCAGTTCAAAGGCTGACCTGTTGCTTATATTTGCTTTTTCACCTTGTCTCCTGGTGTTTCTTGCTTTTGGGATGTAGTCCAAGTATTGCTAACTATACCAGGCTGTGTCGAGGGACAAGGGTTCTGTTTCAGCCACAACACAGGGATGGGGCAGTTTGCCTTCTCTGTGTGGACTTACTCTGACCCGTGTTTGAGTATATAATCAATTTGTTCTTGCGTGAAAAGCAAACAGACAATACTGTACCGCTTTCATGCATCAAAGAGAAAGTACCTCTCGATGTACTTCAGAAAGGTGCTGGGTTCGTATTCATGTTTATTTGATGAATCAAAGAAATCCTTTTGTTCACTGATAATGTGGCTTTCCAGGCCTCACCTTCAGTATTTCTCTCTCTTTTTTATCTTACAGGCACTGGGACAATGAGGTGCAAAAGGCTAAAAAAGAAGCAAGGACGCCCCACTTAACAAAAGCAATTATACTTTGTTACTGGAAATCATATTTAGCTTTGGGGTTTTTCACACTGATTGAGGTAATAGACTGAAAGAGCTGTAAGAGGCCATCAAACCACCATCAGCTTATGGTGACTCTATGAATGAAAACTCTCCGCAAAGTCTGATCCGGGACAGCCCTGCTCAGCGCTTGTACATTCAGGGCTGTGGCTTCCTATCTGGAGCCACCATCTTGTATTTGGGCATCCTTTTATTCTTCTCCCTTCCACTTTCTCTAGCATGATGGCCTTCTCTAGGGAGTTTTGCCTTCTCACAATGTGCCCAGAGTGTGACAGCTTCAGTTTTGCAAGAATACAGGGAAAAGTCGCCTCCCTGCAGTTTCCTTTTGACCAAATCCTGCTCGCTCTTCAGCCAGCCACGTTTCTGAGTGGTGACATGCTTGCGGCCGTCTGACGGCAAAGAAATCAAATAGAGCTGACCACTCCATCATTAGTACCCCACATTAAGGGCATCTGAGCTCACACTATGCGCTCATATCTTCCTGCATTTGGGCAATGCCCATTTTGAGGTGTGATATACTTCCTTTCCTTCCTCAGTCTGGTGCCCTCCGGAGGTCTGGTATGTCTGGCTGCAGATGATGGGACTTGTGTTACATATGTTTCTGGGTGCCCTCCCTGAAGGAGATTAGGAGGGCGGCTCCCCGGGGAAGGGCCTTCTCTGCAGTGGTGCCCCAGTTGTGGAATTTGCTCCCTGGAGAGCTTTGTCTGGCGCCGTCACTTTATTCTTTTCAGCGTCAGACTAAAACCTTTTTATTTTCCCAATGTTTTAAGACGTGACTGTTTTAAGTGGGGTTTTTATTAGTTGAATTTTAGGATGCTGTGTTTAAATTTTTTACATTTTGTATTGTTAAACCATCCTGAGACTTCAGTAATGGGAGGGTCTGAAAAAGTTCCAAATGGATGGATGGATGAATGAATGGATGTGTGGGGTATCAGTCTGGAGGAAGCTAGGCTTTCAGGCTTCCAAAAACAGCTGGATCATTCGGTGCGATATGCTTGCCTTGTAATTTTGGGTAGGGTAAGACAGGTGAGTTTGAAAGAGTAAGAGGGCGGGTGGCATCGCAATGACAAGGAGCCTGGCCTGTGAGCTGGGAAATGCCGAGGTCGGATCTGAGCACTGCCATGTACTTTCTAGGGAAGCTGCAGTGATTCTGCCTTTGCCCTCGAGACGATAATACTGACCTATCTTAGAGGGCTGTTGCGAGAAACACTAATGTAATGCACTGAGTTAATGGCTGAAACAGGAATTGAACCAGGGACTTTGTGACTCAGGTTCTTGGTCATGCCATTGCAGTGTGTCCTAACACTCCTATGTACACCATTGGCAGATGGTGAGACCGGATCAGTAATATGTAGTGTGTTAATACAGAAACACGCCAGGTTAATTATTACTATTATTATTTTGTATTTACATCCCACCTTTTTTTCTTGTGAGGAACCCAATGGAGTGGCTTAGATAGCTTCATTTGATCATTACAACAACAATCTTGTGAGGTAGGTTAGGCCCAGAGTCACGCAGTAAGCCTCATGACCAAGTGGGTACTCAAAACCGGAATTCCTAAGTCCCCGTTTAATATTTTATCCTCCTCACTGCACTTGGCCCTGCCTTCATATGTAAAATAAGGCTGTCTGGTATTTGTGAGCTAAGTTAATTTCATTGTAAAGCCCATTATTATTAATTATCATCATCATCATCATCATCATCATCCCTAATTATTAATAATAACTTTATTACTATACTGCCCAGTAGCTGAAACTGTCCCGGAGGTTTACAGCAACTCATAAAATGCAATATAAATACAGACAACAATAAAAACATCATAAACATTACCATACAAAATTTAAAAGCCAGATTTAAAACATATGTAAAAAGCTATAATAGCATATACAAACTGAATTGTAAGACCTGTTTAAGCAGCTAACCTTGTAGCAGTGAACTAATTGAATATCATATAGTGGAAGATGGTCTTCACCTGGTTCTGAAAAGATATTAAAAGAGAGGGGTCAGTGTGGAATGGCTTCCATAACTAGGGGCTACCCTTGAAAAACCCTTTTTGGTTGCCACCAATTAAGCCTCCCTTTGAGGTGACAATTGAAGGCAGACCCTGGATCTCGATCTTGGGGTCTCCATAGATTGCAGTTGGCAGAGGTGTTCCAACACGCATTTTGATCCCAAGCTATGGAGGGATCAAATTAAAATGAGAGAATAATTAGTTATAGAAAAAAAATCATTGCAATATATATTGTTTTCGAAAAAGTCTCTTTCTTTCCCCTCATTTCCCCAACCTTCTTTTCCCTTAGGAAACACTCAAAGTCATTCAGCCAATATTTCTGGGAATGATCATTAGATACTTTGAAAACGTTGGCTCCGTGGATGAAAATGCATTGAATTATGCCTACGCCTCTGCAGCAGCCTTGTCTGTGTGTACCCTGATTTTGGCCGTCACCCATCACTTGTATTTTTATCATGTACAATGCGCTGGCATGAGGCTGAGAATAGCAATGTGCCATATGATTTACCGCAAGGTGAGTAATACATTTCCTTTATCTGAATGCATAGGACACTCAAAGATGTGGGCTCTTGCCTTCCTTGTCTTCACTGGAGCAACTCTTTGTTAAAGCAAACATTGAGATGATTAGTTTGGCATTAACCTCTAGGATAAATATATGGATGTTCCTCCGAAGAATGTTTGGACCATGGTCAGAATGTTTCTTACGCTGCACGGGATCAGAATTGCCCTCTGGGCCTGGGCACAAGGTGGAGTTCTTAAGGGGACCAGCTGGAGGGATGTTGGCACTCATACTCCCTCAAAGTGGCGAGATTTAAATGTCCAGGTCAGAGGAGGAGACGGTGGGGGCAGCAGCACCTGCAAAGAATCTGAACATTCCACAGTTAATGGCAAAAGTGGTACTAGTGTCTGGTGCAAAACGGCGAATTGTGGCCGTGCCAGAAAGCTTTGATCTACCTGCCTTTCCTGGGTTCCTAGTTTGCAGGTGGCAGCCCCTTCCTTACAGAATTCTCTCCTGAAGGTGTTATTGGCCCTTTTGTGAATAACTTGGGGTGGCTGAGGACAAACCTCGTTTCTAAATACCTTCTATGTTATTATTATATTATGAAGGAGCGTCTTGGATTTTGTGTCTTTGTATAAGCATTTTGGGGGATTGCTATTAAAGCAGATATAAATGTAAGAATAGGAAGTGGAAGTGTTCTTTTTTCCAGAACTTGTTTCTTTCCTCGCCTTAGTCTGGCCTGCTTCATACATTAGCAGCACAGCATAGGAGCTGCTTAGCTGGATCCCACATAAAGTACTGAGAGTGACCCCATTTCCTATGGGAAAGTTGTGCAGACTTAGGGCCAAGAGTGAGTGCAGACTCAGCTTCTGCCGCCTCTTAGTGGGAATTCTCTACTCATGGGGCTCCAGCTGCTTTCTCTGGGCGTTTTAGGTTTCTGAGTTGTGTGGGTTATGTTGCAATGCATGCACCAAGTGTGTGAGCATCCTGGGAAAACCCAGCTTGTTTTTTTGTACACACACTTTTGATACCTGGGAAATAATCTCTCAGGCATACTGCTGTAACAGGGCGTACTGCTTCCTTGTACGTAAACATATCTCTGAGGTATTAATTTGCTGTTCCGTACCATAGCTTAGTCTGTTATGGGATTAATAAAATGGCTTTTACAGCAGATTCTGCTTGCTGAGGAGTAAAAATCTGTTTGGTGGAGAGAAACCTGTGAACAGCAAATTGGTTTGTGCTATGCTCTCCTCTCTTTATTTTTAACGATCTGCCAGTGGAATACTGGTGTGTTTTGTCAATTTGTGTGCTGGAAAATTTTAAAATATGTATTAATTTAGAAGTAGGCAGAAATGTCTTCCTTATTTTTGGATAGCTCAATTTTATCATGAAATTGATAGGCACCCAAACACTGAAGTTCAGCTTTAGAGCGAAGAGGATTGTATGTATAAACTTAACTCCTTCCCTTCTCCCCTACCCTTTTTTGTTGGGTGGGGGTGGTAAACATCTTTAAGTCACACTCAAACAGATTTCAAAATGAATGATCTAAAAGTTCTTTCACCACCACTTTATCTTATAATGGTTAACTTTTAGATGGCATTTCCTTTTAAAACCTCAGATGTCCAGAACTGTACATACACATAGGCTCCTGTGGTTGGCCTTGAAGGTTAGGACCACGAGTACAAATTGTTCCAAGGCTGATGGTCTGGCTGTGCTTGTACTCAGACGATGCACCAGAGAACACAGTGGTACTGTAAGAAGTTAGCTTCTTCCAATCCTGACAGCACTGCCATGTAAAAGTACAGACAGAGAAGCTGACCTGATTTCCTAGTTCTTCAGTTTAACCCAAGCAAGTTTTCCAGAAGTTTTCTCATAACTGCAGTAGTCCTTAAAAATTGTGTTCTTTCCTGCTGTAGCAACTTTATAACTAATGCCTCTTGTGTCTGTAAACAAATTCCTAGAATGGGGAAAGGAACTCCCATTGTGGCCATCAAAGTTTTATAGACGGTGTTGTAACTGTGTTGGGGAAAATGTAGCCCAAATTCTTAACTACAACTGAGCTGAAAGGTGTTTCTACATTTGTGGCAAGCTGCAAGTGCTTCTAATATTGAGTATCTGTGGCATGGAAAGTTATTAGGATTATGTTTTTCATTTTTACATTATTTTATACATTATCTTTAGGAGGTTTTCAATCCCTTCCTCCTTTCTTCATATTATAACAAATTAACTATTTTTAGCTAAACTGTTGCAATGCACTCTGCCTGGCGCTACCCTTGAAGACAGTCTGGATACTTCAGATGGTGCAAAATAGAGCAGCCAGGTTGCTGATGGGGACTGGACGTTATTCTCACGTAACCCCAGTCCTCTACCAGCTTCACTGGCTCCCCATCGAAGCCCAGGCTCAATTCAAGGTGCTGATCATCACCTACAAAGCCCTTAACGGCTTGGGACCTGGATACTTGAAGGAACGCCTTCTTCCGTATTTGCCCTCCCACCCCCTGAGATCGGCAGCAGAGGCCCTCCTCCGGGAGCCCTCTGTGAAAGACATCAGGAGGCAAAGTACCTGGAGGAGGGTTTTCTCTGCGGTGGTGCCCCATCTATGGAATGTGCTCCCCAGAGAGGTCTGCCTGGCGCCGTCGTTATTTGTTTTTTGGCACCAGGCTAAGACCTTTTTATTTCAACAATATTTTAATAACTTTTAATATTAACTCTAGGTTTTAATTTGCAGCCAGAATGAATCGGGTTTTTAATTTGTATAATCTGTATTTTCGTACTATGTTTGTTTATTTATGTAAGCCATCCTGAGGCATTAAGTGATGGGACGGCATGCAAAAACGCTAAATAAATAAATAAATAAATAGTAGAAAAGTGGCAACTTTTAAAAAGAAAACTATGAAAACTGTAGATATATAAGATGATCACGATGATTTTGAAACAAATGTCTAATTTGGTCATTTAGGCGCATTTGTCATATAGTACTGCCTAGAAGTTTCAAGGGCATTTGCTGCATTGATTTTTCCTGTGTTTCTGGTATATTTGCAATATGTTAGAAGAGGAGCTAGATTGTTTCCAATGGTAGGTTACTAAATTCATGCTTATTTAATCCTTTTCACCTGCAAATCTGTGAGGATGCTTTTAAAGAGTAGCATGGTATTGATATCCTTAATTTGTCTCATCATTTTGATCACTTGTACCTATAATATTTTCACAACCACCACTGCTAATTTAAAATACGTTGGATAAGTGCTGTACCTCCCTAAGCACACCTACAATGTTTGTTGCTATTCTGGGTTTCTTGGAAATTTGATTGCATCAGCAAATACTATTGGGATGGCGCTAGAGGCCACTTAGAGTAGTGCAATATGATTTACATTAGTGTTTCTGACAGATTGGATGCTGCTTAATATATTTACTCATGCTGAGCTGAGGGTAGTCCTGCTTTAATTGGCTTGAGGCCAACCATAGCACTGATGCAGGAAACATCGTATTTACTACCGGATGTCTCTCTTCGTCATCAACAGTGCCTTAGCCAAACCTGAACCTTTGTATTTTGATCCAGAAAATGTTTTTTGGAGTGAGCCTTATCTTCACAGATGCAAAATACAGCTCAGGAGTTTCTACAGAATATATTCTGGGTTGTTCGTTATCCTTTTAAATGGTGCCATGAAAAGGATAATGGCAGAACAGTTCTTGAAAATCTTTTGTCTAAAATAACCTACAGTGTAACTAAAAAGCAGTACTGTGCTCTCTCTTTCTCTCTCTCTTGATTTTTAGGCACTTCGTCTAAGTAATACAGCTATGGGAAAAACAACAACAGGTCAAATTGTAAATCTTTTATCAAATGACGTAAATAAATTTGATCAGGTAAGTCCCGTTACTGGAAGCTTTTGTCTGGGATTTATTTCAGCCTGAGGTGATTTGGATAACAGCCTACATTTCTTGATCATTGTCAAGACAAAATGCTCAAAAGTTACTGGAATTTCCTGCATGCATTTGCAAAATTGGATATAGTTTCTAAGACTGCAGCCTTAAGAATCCTTTCTTGGGTATACCATGGATTTAAGTTGAGCAAGAATTTTGTGGATTTCAGTGGATTAAAAGTTTCAAGCAGATATGTATACAATTTGTGCTGAGAGGAATAATTTGTGGAATGCGATCTAAACATGGCTCTGGTTGGCAAATTTTGGGGACATACTAAAAGGAGGAACACCAAGTGGTCATCTGTATGCATTGTGTCACTGCCACAGAAAAACATTGGAAGATGTTAAGGATCATCTTCAAAGCAAAATAGGCATTTATTTTTCATACACAACTACTACAAATCATAATATACCCAAAGTAGTTTCTTAACTAGAACAGTTCTTAACACAGTACCCTAAACACAGTAGCTTCTAGTGATCATCTCCAGATAGAACCAAAACAATTAAAAGAGGATTTAAAAATGATTGGAATGGCCCAAACAATATTTAAATGTCCTTTCAAATAGCCCCATGAATCCTCAGTGTGATGGTGGCATCTGCCGTGGAAGCAGCCAAAGCTTCTAAAGTGCAGATGTGCTCTAGACCAGACCCCAAAGCATCTGAGGAGGTGCTGTGCAGTTCCGGTTCCAGAGGGATGGTTCCTCCTGCTGCGTGCCATGAATTTCAGAGCCTTTGGGGTGACTGTAGGACTGCATTGCAGTGGGTCAAGCAGCTTCGCAGATAGAAGCGGGGCCCGCCTATGTGCTCACAGGTGACAGAGCCATGGCCGATATGCATTCTGTGAGTCAGGTTCTACAGCGATGCACTCTGCTTCTGCATAGTCGTAAGATCTAGGCATCTTTCGGAATAGCCACAGGAATGATACCTGCAGACCCAGAGGAAACGGGGGGAGTCCCTAAGTGGTCCCAGGTGATGGACGTACTCCCTTCCCCCCATCATCTCTCACAGAATTGTTGGAGCACAATCTGCAGGGATGCTCTGCTTAGCCGTGGCATCCAGATGTCCTTCAGGATGCACTGCAGTGATGTGCATAGACACCCAGGACAAAAGCCAGGGCCGGTTTGAGTAGATGCCTCTGTCTTGCACGGGTGGCGAATTTTGGGACACCAGCTCTTGCGGCAAATGAGAACTGATCTACCTGAAGCGGCCAGCAAAAGCCATTTCAACAGTTAACCGGGAGTTGTCTCTAACATTAAAGTGCAGGTAGCATCTTGCACCAATAAAAGTTTTTCCCAGCAACAATGCCCTGTTTCCGTCAGGCTGGGGAAGCTGTGGTGAAAGGGGCTACCTCTTAAACATGTGCTTTGAAGTTGGCTCCTGTGCCAGAGTTCTGGAAAGTGGTCATTAACACAGGACAAGACTAATTAGAGCCTGCTTTGCTGCTCGTTAAAGGGCAGGGTATGGGCAGCCTGTGCTCCTCCAGTGGATTCCTGCCTAGAGTCCTCATCATCCCTAGCCACCACGCATCCCCACTGGAGCTGATGGGAGCTGTGGGCCAAAATGCCTATAAGGTTACCATTTTCCCTCTCCTGCTCTCCAGGAGCAGCTGCTTCATAAAGATTTTGCCAGTTCCCAATCATGGCAGCCGAACTTCAGCTTGGCCAAAACTGAGGAGCTGCCAGAACCTTCAACAGGGTTAGCTGGCTTTCCAGAGTATGGCAGAGGACCCTGGCTGAGAAGTGAAGCCATCAAAGGAAACAAGTTATACAATTATCAGAGCAAGACTGAGTGATCCAAACAGGGTTCTGAAACACCTTTTCTGTGAATGTGGACTCTTCTGTTCTGTGGCATCATTTCTTGTGTATCAAGAAAATGATATAACTGAAATGGGTACTAAGAACTGTGATTCTGTACAACGTACGCCCTGCTTTGCCTGTTATCCTTTGGCTCACGTGAGCCTAAAGAGAGTCGCGTTTAGCTTGCCCCATTTAGTCTTGCGCTTGTGCATTTCTCCCACGCAGCTGTCTTTGCGAGTTGCAGACACATCTGAGCCTGTCGATTACGTGGCGGGGTCATTGCTGAAATGTGCAAACTAGACCGGTGGCTGTCGTAATTTTTCTTTGACCCAAATTGCGTGTCTTAGTTAATCTGTGTGTTTCCTTCTTACCATTCTGTTTGCGCAGGTGACTATTTTCCTGCATTTCCTGTGGGCTGGACCCCTTCAAGCGATCGCTGTAATGGCACTCCTTTGGCATGAGATTGGCCCGTCGTGCCTTGCAGGAATGGCCGTTCTAATTATCCTGCTCCTGTTGCAAACCTGTCTCGGGAGGCTGTTCTCAGCACTGAGGTAAGAGGGGATAATGCCGTGTGGCTTTCTTGCTTCATAATGCTTAAAATTCTCCCTTAAAGGCCTGCAATAATGCTGTGAAGTTCATCTTTACTTCACTTTTACAAATATTTGCTGCATGTTCACTTGTAGAGAAGGCTCAAAAGTAGAGTCGCTAAGGCCAGGAGTACCCATAAAAAAGCACCAGAAGTTCTTGTTCCTCCAGTGGGAAGAGTTTTTCCTTCCAAAAGACACAGGTGGCTGATTTCGGCCTGTGAAGAGGAGGAGAGGCAACCCTGGCAGAAAATGTTTTCCAGTGGGGCCTCATTGGTCCCCGCCATGCTCAAGCCCTGGACTGGGTTCAAAGCTGTCCTCTGCATTTACATGCCTTGTGAATGCTTATTTCGCCTTTTCAAACTGCCACCCAGAGGTTAAAATTCAGAACTTCCTGTTCATGCATTCTCACGTCAGTTGTCTATCTGTACATGCATGCTAAGAAAAGCAGTGTGTAAGAGTATTTGTTATTTTTAAAATTTATTTACAATTTTAAGTACTGTCTGTTATTTCCACAAAAAATCTCAAGATGGTTTACAATAATATTCATTTTTCAATAATGAAAAAAGTATTTCTGTTTTTTATAATTTGCAGACCACAGGATACCCACCATTTCCATATGAATATCTTTCTACTATTAGCTGTGTCAGTGATTATAAAAACAATTTATTTGTCACCTTCATATTTCTATAGTTTATTAAATGTTTATAGAAATATATATGTTCTTGGAAATACATCACACATGCTTCTATCTGTTTGGAAAGCGCAAGAGTTGAAAGTGGTTAATTTATTTTGTTAATTGATTTTTGCCCCCCCCCCACTTTTTTTTCAAATGGATGAGGACGGTGTGTGCTGTGCAGCTTCAGTATTAATTAATATCCTGATGATCTTGTGAGATAGGGTGGCGTACAAGACAGCTGAGTACACACATGCTGGTTTCCTTTTTCCATTCAGTTCATTACAACAGGCTGCTCTCTCTGAACAGTCCAGCAACACAAGCAGAAACAGAAATGCAGAGTATAATGATCACCACTACGAGCCATATATCTCTGTGTAAAAGTGTTTTTGCCCAACTTCATGAAGCTTCTTTGAGGCAGATATTCTTGTGAAATATTGGATTAGGTCTTTCGATGGGAAAAAGTAAAGTGCCGTACTTGGGAAGGGACCACGGGGAAAGGGGGAGCTGTAGAGAGGAGGGACAGCCTGTAGGTAAGTAGGTAGCTAGTGTGTAAACACACAGCTAGCTGTGTTTGTGTGTAAGAACTGGGGGATCCTGGAGGAGGGAAGTGGGGGGTCACTTGGGCAAGATTTCACAAAATGGGCTGTCCAAGGGCTGGTGCTGGACCCCATTCCCACTGCTGCCCAGAGAGAAAAAGGGCTGAAAAGCAACGGGTGGTTTCTTTTGACCTTCGCCATGGATGACTATCTTTGGGCCAGAGAGCCAGGTTGAGGGTGTGCAAATGGCTGAGTGGAGCATCTCAGAGCCTTTTGGCTGTGAGCCTCCAAGCCTTGCCAGGTTTGGAGGAGAACTTCTAAGGGAGGTGGGAAAGAGAGAGAGCTGGAGCAGGATGACTTGAATGGGGTGGAGGCAATGGGGAAGCTGAACTACAAGGCAATGGAAAAAGAAGTTGGTCTTCTTTAACTCCAGCCTTTATTCCTGCCTGTGAAATTGCTCACACCTTTCAAAAGAGGTAGTGAAGTCTATTTTTGCACGACACTAAAATCATACACTAGGTCCTGAGATATTTTAACCATATTTAGTTTATAATATTCATTAGTATTTATATATCCCTGTCTGCCTGAATATATAGCCATACATAGCTTGGGCTGATGGAATGCCTCCTCCAGCCTCAATCTACCTGGACACTAAAATCACCATCTGAGGCCTTCCTCTGAGTGCTGCATCCGAACAAGGCATGAAGGGTGGGACCCGGGAGGAGGTCCTTCTCAGCAGTGGCTCCACAATTATGGAATGATCTCCCCACTTAAGCTTGCCAGATACCAACTCTGCTGTCCTTTCCATGCCTCCTTCTTTGAGGCATTCAAAAGTATTAATGACTCATGGGAGACCTTAGTTGTACTGGAATAAACTGCTTTAGCTGCTCAAATTTCTTAAAATTCTGTTTAAAATTTTGTGTATTGGAATGTTATGCAGGTTTTATTATAGCATGTTTTCTTCTCAATTCTTGTAAATGACCCAAAGTGCTTTTACTGTTGGTTTATATACAAATAGAAAAACAAATGGTTGAGTACTCCCACTCCTTATGTTCATTATTTTGATGCTGCTGCTGCTGATTTTACACATCCAGCATTTTTCCTTTTGCAAGGAACCCAAGGCAGAGTTACAGAGTTCTTTTTCTTACAACTTTATTCTCACGACAGTCTATCAAAATGGTTAGTCTGAGAATCAGTGACTAGCCCTAATATAACCCATGAGCTTCATGGCTAAGTGAGGACTACAACCCATATTTCTTGAGTCCCAGTCCAATATATTAGCCACTGCAACATGGCGACTTTTCTTTTCTTTATAACTATGCATTATTTTGACCGTAGCAGTATAAATTCCTTTAATATTGCAGGAGCAAGACAGCAGCCTTTACAGATGTGAGAATTCGAACCATGAATGAAGTCATAGCTGGAATGCGGATAATAAAGATGTATGCCTGGGAAAAACCATTTGCTAATCTGGTGGACAGCATGAGAAGGTGATGATGTGTCCCACTGCAAGTTATTGCATGACATTTTTACATTACTCTTCTTTCTCACCTCTCGCCTTCTTGTGAGGAAGCAAGTTATGCATAAGGAACCTCATCACAAGAAAATATTTGCTTAAGTGCTTTATTCTTTCGCTCTTTTCATGAATTTCCAATTTCCTTCTTGCTTATGAAATGGCAATTCCTTTCCCCACATTCTTAAGCAGTAATGTAAGGATTATGATGTCATATGAGGGCACTGCTATATATCACAGGCTTTAAAAATCTAAAAAATATAAAATAGGAGGAGGCATTTTTAAACTTACCATTATCTGAAAACATAAAAACATGTTCCCAAGAAGTAAACATCTTAAGTTGCTACAGTCAAAAACAAGAAGTCTTTTGGCTTCCTTGAAGGCTTAAAAGCATGTTTTGTCAAAATTTTAAACATGTTTCTTTGACTTCCAGCCTTTTTTTCTGACCCACTTTAAACAATAAAATCAGGTTTTTTAAAAAAAAATCCTGCATCTGGTAGGATCTTTTCCCTCTCTTCTCTGTTGCTAAAGGCAGTTAGGGTGAAAGGTCATCATGAGGATACTGCTTTTTGGATTGAATTGTGGAGGTATGTTTAAAACATGCTCAGTGTTGATGATCTGTTCAGACTGGATGCTTTGTTTAGCTGTTTTGCAAATAAGACATTACATTATTCAAGACCATCATCATCATCATCATCATCACTATTATTATTATTTAATTTCAGGAAGGAGATTTCCATGGTTCTAAAGAGTTCTTACCTTCGGGGATTTAACTTGGCATCTTTCTTCGTTGCCAGCAAAATAACGGTGTTCATGACATTCATGACCTACGTATTACTTGGCAATGTTATATCCGCAAGCCGAGTGTTCGTTGCCATTTCGCTGTATGGCGCAGTGAGGCTGACGGTCACTCTCTTCTTCCCAGCAGCTGTTGAGAAAGTTTCTGAAGCTCTGGTCAGCGTTCGCCGAATCAAGGTATGGTTGGAAAAGCAGTGTGCTGCTCTGGGGCTCTATTTGGCTGTGGCATTGTAAATAAGCTGCGAGGTATTAAACCACAATTTTTTTACAATTCCGGCTGCTCGTCCACAAATATCTGTGTTCGTTTCGCCCGGGAGACAGTGAGCTTGTGAGGAAGCGCGCATGTTTCCCTTTTGCCTAAAGGTAATTCTTAAGCAGCTGTTTACAAGTCTAATTGAATCTGCTTTTTTATATGCCCAAGTGCTTTTAAGGCCATAAAAGTAAGTGATCCCCATCAGAGTTGAATGGTGGCTAGGTGAAAGGCAGGGAGCTCTGTGCTTGGGGCTAGGAATAGCTGTCACTCTGCCAAGCTTTGTCTGGCTTTGGCCGTCTTCTGGCCTGCAGACTGGAGGGAGGGGATGAACACTCTTTGCAGAGGCTGGGGGCACACACAGGTGTCATGTGACAGAGCCTTGCCAGTTGTAAAGGGTTCCTGGTGGAGCATTTTGTGAGCAGCTGCTCTCTTCGGTCAGCGGAAGTCGGATTAAAGTGGTGAAAGCTGCAGTACAATCCTGAATGTGTCAACTTAGACTTAAACCCAGCTGAGTCCAGTGAAATCGGTGCCCAGGAAAGTACACACTGATTTATAGCTTCAGCCTCTCTTTCATTCTGGGGAGAATGACACATACTCCTTGTGGTGGTAGTAGTAATAAATGTTCAGGAGAGAAACTGCCTTGCTTCATTCCTGTTGATGGCCACATTTCCAATTTGCTTTAAGTGATTACCTCAGCTCTCAAAATCTCCATTGTTAATTGTTTGGTTTTTTCCTCCCATAAGAATGCAGTTGGCTGGCTTTATCAGAACCCGTTTTTTTCTTGTTGCCCGCTTCAGTCGATCGTATCTCTCGCAGTGCTTTGTCATCTTCCTCATGGTACCTTCAAGTTGGTGCTTTCTCATTAAATTAAAGTATGTTTTGCATTTATAGCATAGTTTGCATATGTCCATTAGGATGGTCCTGGATGCAGCTGCTCAAGTCCTGAGACCAGTTCATGAGACAGGTGTGGAAGCAAGGTTGCAAGGGGGTCTTTGGGAGACCAAACTAACTCAGAAGAGCATGGCTTGGGCCTTGGTGTGTCCCTTGTTGTCTTTGCGTATGATAGAATTTGCCATCGAAAGGAGTCTCGGTTTTGCTGCTGTTAGACAAGTTCTCATTATTTGAGGAAAACTAGAACTGTACTTTGCATGTCGTATGGTACTGAAGTGTTAATTTTCTAGGGCACTTTTCTGGTTAAATATATTAATTTTAGGTTTAAGGCAGAAGAAGAAGGGGAAGACCAAATAGGAGAGGATTAGATTCTCAGGGAAATTCTGGATTTCTTTCCCCTGATGTCTGTCTCTTCTCTCTCCCCCCCCTTGATGCAGAACTTTTTGATCCTTGATGAGATTTCTCAGCTTGGTCCGCAGCTCAAAAATAACAGTGAGAACCTTCTTCTTCATGCACAAGACCTGACATGCTCCTGGTCCAAGGTAAGCACCGTTTTATTTTGGAATTTTAAGACAGCAGTGGTGCATTCATAAAACCAGCCTCAGCAAGGAGGCATAGGTTTATCCAGGAACTGAAAATGCACCCCAGTCCAGCGGCCCAGTTGCAGGTGGATGAAATGGGGCGCAGGGGTGGGGTGGCTACTTTCAGGGGCCAGGCCCCACTTGGTGAGTTAAACAACATCTTTGGGAAGTGCCCTGTTTAAAATCATGGTCTCAGACTTACTCAGCATAGCCCTGGCCCCATTTATGGAGATCAGAATGAATGGCATTTTTATTTTTCCAAAAACTGTGTGAAATGATTTGGAACCCCTAAGCGTGCTATGCAAAAGCTAAAGTTCTTGATAAATATCTCAGAACACCTCAATCAGAAAGGTTTGCATTTTTTGCCCATTGGACTCCAGGGTGACTTCACGCTAAAGGAAATGAGAGCAGTGTGGCTGGTGGAACAGCATCCCATAATTTAGTTGGGAAAAGAATTCAGTGCTCACTTGGTTCTGAACCCACAATCAGATTAGTGGTGATACCAATCCATAGAATGATTTATGTAAGATTTGCCACCTAAATTAAATATTTGATCTGTTTTATAGAGCATGTAGGAGTTAGTCCAGGGATGAAGAAGACTCTTTCAGGTTGCAGACATACAGCACAAAATGAAGATAATTCAAACATGGAAAAGGAAGAAATGTGCAGAATGGAACAATTCTGCTCTCAGTGGCATTAAGCCCCCCCAAAGGGGACACAATCCTTCAGAGAAGTGTGCTTGAGCCTTTTGCTATGAGCAGATTTATGGGTAGTGGATTCTGTGTTGGATTGTGAGAAGCAATATAGAGACGAAAGGGATAGAGAGAAAGCCAGTGTGACGTGGTGGGGAGATGGATGGACTGGGACTGGGGAGTTCTGGCCTTGGGTCTCTACATTGTCCCCACTCTGAGCCAGTCAGGCATTCTCAGCCTAGCCTACCTCCCTGAGTTGTTGTGGAGATAAAATGGTGAGGAGAATTATGTAAATTGCCTTAGGTTCCTTGTAAGATGGAAAAAAGGCAAGCTATAAATATAATCAGTCGTTCAATCAATTAATCTGCACAACAGTAAATCCACAAAGAGGGCATGGCTCCTCCTTGGATGCAGCTTCCCTTGTTAAAATATACAAGAAAGATTCAGACACTAATAACATGCTAATTTCAAAGTATATTTAGTGCTAGATGTTATGGCCTCTGCCCTCCTCACTAGAGGTCTTAGTTTGGAATGCTGGGAGATGAAAATTGCTCTGCAGGAAAAAAAACAGACTTGTGAGTGGTATAAAACTTATGAATTATCTTCCAGTTTAAGGCCATTCGTTCTAAGAGTTCTGAATTGGTAGATCCAGAAGTTTTCTTTCCTGTCAAGCATACGGCAGTGGCCTTTGTTTATTCAAGCGGAAGCAATTTCAAGTTTGAGGGACTTTGTGCAAATGAATTAAAAAGTCTTGCAATAGGCTGCTGTAGCTTCTTTTTCATGTGCTTCGAGGTTTATAGAATCTTGTTCTAAGATCCTTCTCAGTTTTTCCTATATATTGTTCATTATAGTTTTTTAAACATTCAATTAAAAAAATCACATCAGAGGAAGAGCATGTTATTGATTGTGTAATGTAATAAGAACATGCTTATTATTCATTCATTCACATATTTATAGGCTGCCTATAACTTCCAAAAGCGCTTCCTAGGTGGCTTCTTAACCACAAATCTGCAATTTTTACCAAAAACCTAGATCAGCCTGTGGCAAGACATCTCCTGTCCTTAATATGCAAGATACGACCGTACTGCCACTTACTAAAACTAGCTCTGGCAAGCAGTTCCTAAGCAGACTTTTCCTCCAGCATACCAGATCTCTTGGACAGTTCTAGCCAGGTTGGGTGAGATTGGAGCACCTCTGTCATGAAATATTTCCTTTTCCTTTCTTTCTTTCCGCTCAGCCAACCGTGTTCTGAAGTGCAGAATTATATCTATATCACATTCCCAGCTGGCTGAAATAGGAATTCTTACAGTGAATCCAATATTATCTTTAAAGGGAAAACGGGCATTCGGTCCCACGGTTGTGTGGCACTCACTCCAGCAAGTACAGAAATAACGGGCGAGTGCTGCCATCTTGAGGTAATTGGGTTGAAGAAGAGAGAGGCTCCCCATGTTTCAATCTACTTGGGACCACAATGGAGTAGGGTTATAGAGCAAGGATGGACAGACTTCCGTTTTTCTGGACTTACCCTTTTTTATTTTACTAGAAGATTCACAACCAAAGCCTGGTGTAAAGGACATGTACTGGGAATTCAATAATTTTGAGCTCAAAAATAAGTTCTGACTACTAGAAGGAAATGGAAGTCACAGTCCTTCCACAAAAATCTACTCCTGGTTACCCAAAGCTTTCTTAATTTCAGCAGCCTAATTTAGGGTGGGAAGAGAGTTCATTTGTTCTGCGCTTCAGAACATTGTTGGCTGAACAGGTAATCCTGTATAGCAGCAATCCAATTGTTTTATTATATGTGGTGCAATTTGAGGAGTGTGAATTCTAATATATTGATGTTGCAGAATCAACAAATGCTAAATATATCTAGGTTTCACTGTGGCTTTCCAGTGATACTGTAAAAAACTGAAGCAAAGCTAATAGCCATAGACTGCTTTGTGTTTAGTTGAACTGGGCTTGGAGATGGGTCAGCACAGTTGGAGGTCGTGAGTAGGAGGGATGCCCTGTGGAGGCAGACGGGAAAATCTAAAGGTAGCAGAAAGAGCAGGAGGTGAAGGTGGCTGAGGTGCCACACTGAACGTGCTGAACGGAAGCTTCAAGAGCCTTTAACTAATGCTGTCTTGCACTCCTGGCTTGAATATGGACTTGCTCGAAGACGGAACCTTGTAGCAATGTATTAAAGTGGTGGCATTTCTTTAAAAAGGGAACGGAATTTGATAAATTGCAACTGCTGGACAGCTGCAACAGATGAAATGCGGGAGGGATTGACTTTTCTCTTCCTGCTTTACTGCAAATTAGAAAGATTTTATGTTGAAACTATGTGAAGAAGCTATATATACAGACAGACTGAGGGTTTTATTGTGATTCTTAACATGCTTATTTGAAATGAATGCTGATAATTGCAATGAATGCTACTTCAAAGAGTATGTTATTATTTCAATTACAGTACCTTTACTTTAGTTTCAGTAAGATAAAGGGTAATGTGTAGAAGATTTTGGGGAGGCCCAATAACTTGGTGGAACAAGAAAGTACTAAGATTGCGGTCGGAATGTAGCAATTCCAGGAGACGCAAGAGACGGGAGGTGGCAGGATGGTGGGCCAAGGAAGGATGGTGGGGAAACAGGCAGAAGCGATGAGATGGTCATGTCAGGTATTCCACATTCAGAGCCTGTATTGGCTGAACAGGATTGGAGGTTGCTGGAGTTCTCCAGGTGGAGGGCAGAGAACAGCCACAAGGACGCTGGGCCCTTATCACACCCAAGGACGCTGGGCCCTTTGAGTGTCAGTACCAGTTTGGAATTAACTAATGGTTTTCTTCACACATTTATAGACTCTGGACTCGCAGACTCTTCAAAACATTTCATTTACTGTCAGACCAGGAGAATTACTGATTGTGATTGGTCCTGTGGGAGCAGGAAAGGTAAGTCAGTGCTTGGCTTTTTTCTATGGTAGAAGCTGTATTGGTGTTATATCCATGAATGATGAAGTCTAAAGTCAGCTAAATTCTGAGGCATGTGGAAAGTGGGGGAATGTTTCTCCCTTCTCCATCTTAGTGAGCCTATTGCTGCCTTAGTTCCCCAGTTTCTACACCTCTGACTTGAAGCATTTAGAACGGGATATTGCTGCATTTTGTAAAATTGAAACATGTAGACATGTGTTTGTTCTCTAATGTATGTTAGATTCCAAAGGGACAGGAAAGTCAGATAATTCTTGCAAAATACTTTTATGTGGGTTTTGCATCTATTACTCTGAGACCTGTTGGAGGTCACTCCAGATGAGCAACATCAGCATCTCTGCTGTAAATAATAGTTTTAGGAAAAAAAGGAGGTTAGCACCAGCTTTGTACATATGTATCTTGGCTTACCTTGAAATGCCATGGCTGAAGATTTCTTAGATTAAGTGACCATGGTCTAGACTGGGAAACTGAAGTTACCAGGAAATAAAACCATGCTTTGAAGTGGGATTTTGATTCATTTTAATCCTGGTAACCAGAGTTTCCTAAGTCGGACAGAGGGAAATCTAGGATTAATTGATCTAGGAAAAATTGCATTGCAGTGTGCCGTGGAAGGAAAGCACGGTGGGAAGAGGGCTCATGTGGGTGCAAGGCTTGTGCATATTTCAGATTAATAAGCCAAGGTATATCTGAAATGCGTGTGCGTGTCCTTGTGGCACACCGGTGCCTTGAGGAAAATAACCCTGAAGAAATGGATAAAATACTTAATGTATTCCGAAACTATCAAAGTGTGTGATAGCCCAATCTGTGCTGCTATGGCTCAGTGAAAAGGCTCTTATGTCTGCCACTAAAGCAACTTCTATATGCAAGGCCGTTGAGGAATCCCTGAGAAACTGTGGCTGTTGAAACTTAATGGCGCAAAGTTCTGCCTGAATTGGATGTGCTCTGTGTAAGTGCTCCTTTTCACTGTTCGTGACTTTGGTCTTCGATTCCATTCCCTGCTTGCCCCAAGCCCTTCTGTCTGGCATATGTGACCCTGCCCAGTTTGGCTGGTCATGGCGTAACTGGGATACCTCTCTTTCACACAAAGAGGAGAAACGATTCCCTTGATACTGGGCCCTGAATACTGGATGCGGCTTGCCATTGTTTAGCGGACCATTGCATGTGGATGGTCTTCTGGGAACGAAGGAAGGGGGGATGATTAATATGTTCAAAAGGAAGTGACTCTGGCATCGGGAGACTTGTGGGAGATGAGATAGTTGGGTAGAGGACACAGTGGTGGATGGTAACTATTGGAAAGTCTCTGAGGCTGATGCAAACCTTCTCAGTGACTTTAATAAATAGGTAAGAAACCTGTGGAGTGGAACATGCGAAGGAGGGAAACTGGAACTGAACCAACACAGCATGCAGTGTGGAGGCCAGTTTCTAATCTCTTCCTTTGATTGAAGGCATTATCTTTGTGCATAACAATACCAGTAGGACTTGCCGTTCATTTAGGTGTATATGTTTACATTTTTTAGTGTCACTGAAAAGCTAAACTTTATTCTCTCCCCTCTTTCCCCATCCTGTAATTTCAGTCTTCCCTCTTAAGTGCTATCCTTGGTGAACTCTCTCCAAACAAAGGCTTCATAGATGTTCGAGGAAGAATAGCCTATGTTTCTCAGCAACCATGGGTGTTTTCTGGCACTGTAAGAAATAACATATTATTTGGGAAAGAATATCACAAAGAAAAATATGAAAAGGTTCTAAGAGCCTGTGCTCTTAAAAAAGTAAGTGTTTTTCCTCTCCTGAATGAATGCTGAGTTGTACATCTTGCTATGGAAGAGTATTTTTCCTTTCCTGCTTTCTTGTATGGAAGTGAATATTCGTAAGGCAGTAAATAGCTTTGTTGCTTACTGAATAACAAGATGGAAGTGTAGTCTTGTTAGATTAACCATGCTTGCAAGCATCAGAAAATAAACCGGCACTAGACATCCTTTATGCTATTTATGTCAGCTCTTGTGTTGTCTTGGGTACAACCATGTTATTTAGCTAAGGACTGTCTGCACAATCCCTATGGCTTGATGGTGTGTGTGTTTGTAGATGGATTTTGAAGTATATGTACACATACACACACAGAGAGATCAATGTGCCTTCAAACCTTAGATTTCAGGTGGGATATAAATCTAAGGCAAATTACAAAATTGGATTACTGGGTTAGAAAGGGAGCCATTTTTGACATTGGTCAATTCAGGTAGAACGCAGGCAGAGTACAAAAGAGATAATCGAGATGTATGGGCATACATAAATTGCTCAATAATTTACAAACATTTACCAAATAAAGTAACATCTTGGAATTTTTAGATCGGCTGCAGAACAAATTCATTTTCATGAGCAAATGAATGGAGAGAAGTTTAATATGGTCACTGTAATGGATGTTTGTTCAAAATGTTTATTCAAATGGCTGGTCTAATGTACATTGTTACAACCTTTCAAAACATATCCCCTTGATATTTAAAAGGATAAATTAAATCCTGCAAAAAATGATGCATGTTAAGTATCTTTCCAATTGCCATGATTGAAGGGGGAAGTTGTAAATGCGAGAAGTATTACAGCCCCTAAATAGTGCTGTTCGTTCTTACGGCTGGTATATCTTTTTGAAAAATGCTTCAGAGCATTTCACCTATGCTGAGAAGACCCTTTTCTTTTAATTTGGCAGGTGTGATTTAGAAGGATGGTAAGCCACTTTAGCTAAAGGACAGATACATTTCTTGGCAGCTTGAAAAAAGTATTATGCAATACAACCAGTCCATGGCATGTTATGATGCCACTATCAACAGCAAGATAGATGAAAAGAAGACAGTTTAAAAGCTTCTGCAAAACATGCTTGTTTTTCTTTTTAAGTACAGTGGGTGCCCTAATCTTCTGTGGCAATATTGAAAGATAGATCTTTTTCTAAAATTCAGATCCCAGTTCTCGTGAGTTTATAGAGTATAAAACATGTTTTTTGAAAGTGAGTGAAAATTTCACAAAGCCTTAGGAGCTTAATAAACTGTTCTTTTTAGCGTGGTGTCCTATTACTTCCACCTGAAGCTCTTCCATGAATGAACATGCACATGATTTTTAAAAGGGGAGGTCTTAGAAATATTATCTAGCTTACAAGATGTATGGATGCTGTACCTAAGGATGTATGGATGCTGTAAAATCCATTCTGTTTTGTGGATTGTAAGACAACTTTCAGTCTATTGTCTGTTCACTGACAAAATTGAAGTGTGCAAAATTGCATTTGTGTAAATTCAGGGTTGTGCAAATTCGCATTCCCCAAAATGTACAAATCTACTCCCCCAAATCCTTTAGTCTATGGAGGAAATGCACATTTTTGAGCTTTTAAAATTATATAATATAAAATTAGTCAGTGTGAAATTATGAAAAATAAAAGGTCCACAAGTCTGTAGAATGTTTGAATCAGGAAAAGCCAATCTGTAGAATCCATGGGTTTGATTCTTAGCAATCTGAATTTATTTGAGAGAGTTCCAGAAAAACATCTACTTCTGCTTCATTGACTATGCTAAAGCCTTTGATTGTGTGGATCACAACAAATTGTGGCAAGTTCTTAAAGAGATGGGAGTACCAGACCATCTTATTTGTCTCTTGAGAAACCTATATGCGGGTCAAGAAGCAACAGTGAGAACTGGACACAGAACCACTGATTGGTTTAAAATTGAGAAAGGAGTTCGACAAGGCTGTATACTGTCGCCCTGCCTATTTAACTTATATGCAGAGCACATCATGAGAAAGGCGGGGCTAGATGAATCATAAGTTGGAATTAAGATTGCGGGGAGAAATATCAACAACCTCAGATGATGCAGATGATACCACTCTAATGGCAGAAAGTGAAGAAGAACTAAAGAGCCTCTTGATGCAGGTGAAGGAGGAGAGTGCAAAAGTTGGCTTGAAACTCAACATTAAGAAAACTAAGATCATGGCATCTGGTCCTCTCACTTCCTGGCAAATAGATGGGGAAGAAATGGAGGTAGTGACAGATTTTATTTTCTTGGTCTCCAAGAGCACAGCAGATGGGGACTGCAGCCAAGAAATTAAAAGACGCGTGCTCTTGGGGAGGAAAGCCATGGCAAATCTAGACAGCATACTAAAAAGCATAGACATCACCCTGCCAGCAAAAGTTCGTATAGTCAAGGCTATGGTTTTCCCAGTTGCAATGTATGTCTGTGAAAGCTGGACCATAAGGAAGGCTGAGTGCCGAAGGATTGAGGCCTTTGAACTGTGGTGCTGGAGGAGACTCCTGCGAGTCCCTTGGAGTGCAAGGCGATCAAACCGGTCAGTCCTGGAGGAGATCAACCCTGACTGCTCTTTAGAAGGCCAGATTCTGAAGATGAAACTCAAATACTTTGGCCACCTAATGAGAAGGAAGGACTCCCTGGAGAAGAGCCTAATGCTGGGAACAATTGACAGCAAGAGAAGAAGGGGACGGCAGAGGATGAGATGGCTGGATGGAGTCACTGAAGCAGTTGGTGTGAGCTTAAGTGGACTCTGGGGGATGGTGGAGGACAGGAAGGCCTGGAGCAATGTTATCCATGAAGTCACGATGGGTCGGAAACAACTTTGCGACTAATTTAATTCCAGTGATAAGTTCTCTAAAACTCCATTGAGTATATGGATTCCTATATGCCAGTAATTTGTTGTATTTTTATAAATGCTATAGAGTAGTATGATACTATCTGGTGTTACAGCTCTACTAACAGAAAACATATGTCAATGAATTAAAAATAGGGGATTTTGTCAATTTCCATTCACCTCACCCATAATCTGCTCCAAAATCAAAATATCCAGATGTGGTGGGGTACAGGAGAAACACCTAAAAATAATCTCTCGGATTCCACTGATGGATGGAGTCTGCCATGTTAAAAAGGTTCTTCTTTTCAGCAATTACTTCATCTTTTCCATCTCATTTATTTTTAGTGATTAAAATGGATATCATTAGGATTTTTGTAGAGCTTGGGAGTGTTCACAGTGGGCAGCATCCAGCAGCGTCATTCTGCTAGTATAAATTACGTTGCACTAGCAGAAATGAGGCTCTGAACTAGGCGCTGAGGGGGATCCAACTAAAGTTAAGCTTTAGTTTCAGAAGTGTGGGTCATCTGATCCCAACGTGTTCTCCTTGCACAAGGGGGCAGCGCTAATTTGGGAGAGAGGGAAAGATGGCTCTGGCCATTCAAGCCATCTGGTATCACTGCTCGTCGCCATGCCCACCTGGCGTCAACCGCTCCCTAGCGAGGACCTTCAGCCCAGCATTTCCACCACGTTGTGCTGTGTGTGGTCTTTCCAGTTAGGGCTGCTCTGAGCCAACTGGGCTCCAGTGTCTCCGCCAGGAGGGTCAGGCTGAAGCTCTCTGGGCAGTTTACAGGGGTCTGGTTAGTTAGTTCCTGTGGTTACAAGAAAGTGACCAAGCAGTGATCCCCCCCGCCCCCCCATCTTGGAACTGTCAAGGGATAAATACAGTTCAGGCAAAATATATAATTTTAATCGCTTCTTCTGTTTTAATAGGATATGGAGCTGCTGAAAGATGGAGACTTGACAATGATTGGAGACAGAGGAGCTACCCTGAGTGGAGGGCAGAAAGCTAGAGTTAATCTTGCCAGGTAAAGTGGGGCTTATTTTCTGAGGCAGAGTTCTGCTTGCAGAATAGCTGAATTGATGGTTACTTGGTGGAAACACTTTCTGATTAGAAGTGAGTGACAGTAGTAGTAATAGTCATAATCTTTATTGTTGTTTTATTAAAAATGGATACACTGTTTATTCATATTCAGTTCACAGTAGTAAACACAAATTTAAAACGATATCAACATCAAACAAATTTTAAACAATAACAAGATAGTGACATTAAGCAATATAAAACAGCAATCAAACAATAAACATGAAAATAATCTAGCACAAAACAGCAGACCAGAGCGTAGCAGACCAGTGATTCAATGACTTCCTGAAAAGAAAGAGGTTTTAATCTACTTTTGAAAGAGAAGCAGCTGAATATTCCTTGGCTGGAAAAAGTCCAGAATATCTCCGCTGCTGGGAAGGCGCTGCTCCTGTCGGAGACTGTGCATGTTCCAAAGCAGGCATTACCTCAAATCTGTGTCAAGCAGCTGTGCCATTTTCATTTGATTTTAGAATAGGTACTGGGCCTCCAAAACTGGGACCCTCGCTCGTGGGCAAGAGGGCTCTAAAGATTTGGATAGGGCCCCTTATATCTGTTTCAGCAGAAATGAAAAGAGATATAGGTGCTAGGTGAATCACACACCTGTTTTGGCTCCTGGTTTGCCTGTAAAATGGAATTTGGGATAGGATCTGATCCAAAAGCACAAATGCCATGAAAGCCCTTATGGAAGGAAATGGTCCTTGAGATGAATCAGGATCTAGGATGGTTTAAGCCTCGTACTTTGAAGCAGGCTTGGAGATACCTGCAGGTGAGACTTGTCAGTGTCAGTCTTCACCTGTCAGCAAGCAGGAAGTTGCATTCTGCATGAGCAGAAGCTTTAGAACTGCCTTCAGAAGAAACCCTACAGAGTACATTATGGTGGTCTAGCCTATAGTATATTGTTAGCACTTGGGTATCTGGCTATGGGGAAAAAGCTTGAACAATTTTAATGACAGCTTCCAGTGTGAGATTCAGAATAAGCTGCATTACAGAGGATGACATTTAGGTATGCAAACACTGATGAAGCTCAGAGGTAGAGCATTTCCCTCAACTGAGATCCTAGCTCCCTGCAAATTATGGTTTGGTAGCTAAGTGGGAATTTATACTCCCTCCCCCCCTCCCTCTGTGGAGCAAATTAACTTGCCTGCCACCTCATACAAGCTTGGAAGCTCTCCAGTGCCAAAATTTGTTAGCACCAGGATGTGAGGAGCAGGGATCTATGAGGAGCACCAGGATCAGGGGTGGAAGAGGTGGATGGAGATCTTGGGGAGATGCAGTAGGGCCAGAGGTTCAAATAGCAGAGGCAAAGTGGAGTCTGGACAGGAGGCCCAGGTGCAACTTGGGTGAGAGAGGCCGGACTGGAGGTAGCCTGACCTAGTGATCTGGGCCATAAAGCAGCCATCCCCAAACCTCTTCCTGCTGGTTTCTCTGTTTGTGGTGGCTTGAATCCCTGCCAACAACACAGGCTCAATACCCATCCGTGCAACTGTTTGCAAGCTGGACCAGCTGCCTTGCCTATCGAGCCACTGGGAGAGCTGTGCTGCTCTGCAGATCCTGGCAGAGCTGATCAAAGAAATGTGGCCCATTCCGCCAAAGGGATTCGGGTCTGCCACTTACTCGTCATCTCACAGCACTCTGAAGCCAAAGCTGAAACCTGAACATTGCAAGCCAAGTTTGAGGGCGAGGCGTTGTATGGGAGGAGGCAGACGGAGCGTTCACTTCAGTAGCCAGTGGGGTTTATTTTATGACTCAAAAGGACAGAGTTTCTGCAGAAGGAAAATAAAGCCCAAACATACAGTGCAGACTCTCGGGCCAACGGAAACGTGCTTGATGCCATTCTGGATTCACCTTGGTGTTTCAAAGGGCGGTGCAGTCTTGCCACAGGGTCGGTCTTTACGAGCTGTGGCTTGGAAGAGTGATTTAGCAGCATTCCTCGTGTCCGTACTCTTGTTTTCACAACCATTCAGCTGGTATTTCTTTGCATGTCTTCAGAGCTGTGTATCAAGATGCAGACATCTATCTCCTGGATGATCCATTGAGTGCGGTGGATGCGGAAGTTAGCCGGCATCTGTTTGAAAAGTAGGTCCCTTTCTAGGTACTATCAAGGTTTCCATCTATTAATTGAGTCTCACAGTAGGTCTTCTTACGATCTTTGCTCTCTGTTGTTTTTTTAATCCGTGGCACTTCAGGAAGTTGTTTGAAGTGGGCCCTTTTGCAAAATGGTTGGTTGTGTCTAGTTAAAAAAAACTTAGAAGGCATTCATAAGTATGTTGTCATGGATGTAGGTCCATGGAGCTCAATGGAGACTGACTGACTGACTGACTGATTGATTTATAAAATCTGTATGCCATCTATTACTTCCTTCTCTGGACAGCTTACAACATTAATCAGAATAAAATAAATTAACTATTCCACGCTGGCTGAAAATCCAATAAAATACAAACAATAAAATCCAATTGGTACATATTAAAATATTGATCGAATAAAAAGGTCTTGACCTGTCACCAAAAAACATATAATGACAGTGCCAGGCAGACCTCTCTGGGGAGTGCATTCCATTGTTGGGGCGCCACCGCAGAGAAGGCCCTCCTCCGGGTACTCTGTCTCCTAATGTCTTTCACAGAGGGTTCCCGGAGGAGGGCTTCTGCTGCTGATCTCAGGGGGCGGGAGGACTTATAGGGAAAAAGGCGTTCCTTTAGGTATCCTGGTCCCAAGCCTTTTAGGGCTTTATAGGTAATAACCAGCACCTTGAATTGAGCCTGGACTTCAATGGGAAGCCAATGGAGCTGATAGAGGACTGGGTTAATATGAGAATAACGCCCAGTCCCTGACAGCATCTTGGCAGCTCTACTGAATTATCTGGACTGTCTTCAAGGGCAGCCCCACGTAGAGTGCGTTACAGTAATCTAAACGGGAAGTAACCAGTGCGTGTGTCACTGTTGCTTACCAGGCTATCCTATGCATGTTTAGACAGAGAAAATACAACAACTTCCAGCTGTCTGGGACATGCTGGGAATTGTAGGATAGTCACCAGTTTAGGGGCATCCTAAGCATGCATAGGATGACACCCTTAGTTCATAAATCATCTGAAACTCAACCTGCGAATTGGCTGGATGGTTAATTAAGTTTGCTTCTGCATATGAATTATACATTAGTTTTGAAGAAGTGATGTTGCTGAATATATGATGCGCATACATGTTGTAGAGGTGACGTGTGTGTGCATGCGCGTGTACCAAAAAGGGAAAGGAATGTCTCTTGCAAGATGGTACTTGAAATCTTCCCCTTTTGAATTATAGTTTGTCTGAATAACAAGTATATAGATGATTGTCATTTTCTCTGTGTTGTGGGAGATAGAAGCACAGTTAAAGGCTATAACATCTACTCAGGTATTTGTTTATAGTCTCCAAAATTTTGTTTCTGTAAGTACTTAATTTTTCTCAGTGTATTAATATTTTAGCAGTACAGCCAGTCCTCGCACTCTGTGCCTTTGCCACATGTGTAATACAGTGCTTACTCTTATGATAAAACTGGATTTCAAAGTTGATTCTAAAGTAGGAACGAAAAGATCTATTTCCAGCAGCGATTCTTTTGCATGTGTGTACTCATAAGTCTGTCCCCTTTCCACATTAATCTACCTATTACTTTTGTTTTCATCTGCATGAAAATTCAAATGCAGGCATTCAAAGAAATTGAAATAAAATTCCTCGGGAAACCTGAGTGTAAAGGACTTGCAGTAACACTTGGTGATGAATTTGTCTGTCTATTATGCTTTTACATTTTAAAAATAAAATAAAACTTGGATCTAGACAGTGCACAATGCTTCCTTACGTCCCAGTTAGGAAACCCTTGTGTATCCAACAAAGAGATGCAGGTGACAACACAGCCAACTCCTACGGTTCGGGCCATCCTTTTAGCGGGGTGTCTGTGCGGAGCTGTATCTCTCACAGAGAAATCATGTTGGCCTGAACACTTGCTGAATCTAGGGAAACAATGCCCTTTCTTAAACAAGGTGCGTCTCAAGTCCATTTTGTCATTTCAGGTCTACTGAAGTCACACTCTTTGGACTTAATCGGGGAAATAAACTCGCTCTGGGCTAAACATACATACACACAGCTGGTGGTGCTGGTCCGTGAGGCACAGGATCAGGCTAGAGCCACAGGGCACATGAGTCAGGACCGGTAAGTGGCTTTTTTATGCTGCAGCGGTCTCCCTTTCCAAGCTTTTCAGTTTTGCCTTTGCAATGAGATAACGTAGGGATGCTCGTGTGTGTTCCCGGAATTGGTTTTTAAATGTTATACAGGGCATTTCAGCTTTGGCACCGGCCATGCCAAAAGAACAGTGCCAGATACCGCTGGCACGTCGTTTAGTTTGAAAAGGCAATTGAAAGGCGGAAGGGCCACCCTTGTCCATTGTGCACGTTCGCAGCTTGCTATTTCAAATGATACGACCTCCTCCCTCCCTCCCTCCCTCTCCTTCTAGTTATAGTTGCAGCGTGCACAATACAGTAAAAAAGCCACTTACACGTTCAGTTCGAATTTAGCTCTAAGCTCTAGTTGTGTGTCCTCTTGATTTATTATTACTGAACTTCTTGCTCTGAGGAAAACAGGACTGCCTTGAGCTGTGTGGGTCACAACACTCACATAAGGAGCAGCTGTTCATAGGAGGGAGCCATGGAGCAGGGGGGGCTGCTCAGTTCTTCCTTCGCCTGCTAGTTCTCACCTGCCGAAGCCTTTCCACTTTGCATGCAGCCCGGTTTCCTCTGGGAAGGTCTGATACCAGAAATCAGCCTGGCTGGCTGGGGTAGACCTGGAAGGGTGGAGCGCCTCCCTCAGTCCTCCAAGTGCACTACTGCAGCTAAGAAGAGCTCCAGTATTGGTGCTCGCTTGGGTCACATCTCGTTCCACCCTTGGCACGTCGGGAGACGTGACTGAGGAGTCTGTTCATGCTTCCAGTAACTTTAATGGTGGCCCGCACAGGTCGAGGTGACTTGCGGCAGTGCGGGCCGCGTTGGCGTGGTCAGCAGGAGTTTGTGGCAGGGTGGGTTGATTTTTCAGTCACGTGTCTACTTTGCAATTCCTGCATTTCCTGAATAAGACTGCGACTAGGATCCGCTGCGGCAGAGTTGAGATAATTACTTGTGGTGAAATGAGGGCTCTGGACCGAGCTGGGCAACACGTGAATTGCTTTACTGGCAGTGCTGCTTTAGGCCGAGGCCAAAGCATCTGGAGGATCACCAGTTGCCTACCTCTGCATTAGACTATTTAGCATAGTCTTTCCCAAGGTGGCACCCTCCTTCCTTGGAAACAGTGGACCAAAACTTCCACCAGCCTTTAATCAGCACAGTGCATGAGATTTGGATACAAAGCACAAAATTGCTTAAGCCACCTCGAGAGATCTCTTTCCTTGAAAGGTGTCCTGGAAATACTTTTAAATAAGCTGTCCTAATTAAAATGAGCCTGTTGCAACTTGCAGTCTGAAATGTTTGGACAGACCAGATTGGAGGAGGCTGATCTAGGAAGAGAATCCCAAAATGGTCAGGCTCTTCTCCTAAAGGGTGTCCGAGAAATACTTTCAAAATCAGTATTATTATCATTAATAAACAATAGTAATAAGCAACCTCCCATAATTCAAAAAACAACTATCCTGCTTTGTACAAGAACTTTACAACAACATCAGGAGTTCGTTAATATCTGACTGGCCTACCTACTTCTCTTCCCAGCTTCACAGACTAGATTTCAAAAGCACCCCTTGGTACAGGGCCTGCCCATGGACAGCAGGTATATTGGAGTGATATAACTGTTGATCTGCAGTGCAAGCCTGTGCCTCCATTGTCAGAGAGGCTGAGCATCCGCTCTGGATTTTACTCTGAAATGTTGAGGAGCTACTTGTGCTGTTGATCCTATTTTAGGACAGGGGTCTGCTCCGTGGATGGCTCTTTTAGTGCTCAGAGTGAAATCCAGAGTGGTTACACAGCCTTACAGACACTGGATTCACCACTCTTTATGTGTTGGCCTCTAGTCAAGGCAAAAGGGTTTCTGTTATTAAGCATCTCTTAGGATTGCAGGAATATAGGTACAGATGCAACATAATTTAATATGACTAGGTTTAGGGCTCTGTGTTTTTTGTGTGTGGATTGCATGTGTAGGTTCCTCTGTATGGACTGCGTTGCTCAAATTTGCAGAAGACAAGCAAGACACAATTGCTAATAAGGTCGTCCTGAAACAGTCTTGGCTACTTGTCTCCAAGCCTGTGTTTGCCCCCAGGGTATCTTTGCTGGAAAGGCAAGTGGCGTGAAGCCAGGAGAGACACATTCAAGTCCACCTGTTCAGGTTGCTGCAGTTTGAGGCATGGGGATAAGTTGCCAATAAATGCTTGGGGAGATGACCCAAGCCAATAGCAAGTGGGTTTGTGTTATCTGTACCCCTGCCCTATTTCCTGGTTAAGCAATGTCATTTGGGAATGTGCATTTCCTCCTCCAAACCCCCAACATTGCAAAGAAATTTGTAAAGTAACAGGGATTTCTTTGTTGTGGTCTCTGTTCATCACACATTTGTGATGAACTGCAAGAGCCGCATTTGGGAAGTTTCCTCTAGCTAAGCCAAGAATCTTTGGCGGGAGCTTTAAGGGCTTGCGGTGTGTACCTGTCCAAGAAGGTTTACAGGTCTACCTTATATCATATGTTGTTTATTCTGTTTTAAATTCATTTTTCAATTTTTGGACTATTTTATGGTCTTTTATCGTATTGTCTCTTTTATAAACTGTTGCAAACTGCCTAATAAGCTTTGAAAGCTGGGTGGCATAGATATAAGAACAATAATCAACATCATCATTGCAGAGATGAATTCTTGTTCCACTGTTTTATTGATTATTAAGAAATGTTAGATACTAAAATACAGCAATATTCATTCTGCTCATATTTCATTGTGAGTGACTCAATCCCTTGCCTCACATTTCAAGATTTTTTAAGAAATAAAACATCCTAATGTTTTTTTAGAAAGTCAGAGTTTCACTCGATTTCATTCCTTCTGCAGGTGTATCTGTCAGGCTTTGCATAAAAAGCTGTGCATCTTAGTGACCCACCAGCTGCAGTATTTACAGGCTGCAAACCAGATCTTAATTTTAAAGGAGGTAGGTGGAGATAAGATTTACTCCAACAAGTTGGCAGTGTTTGGATTTTTATATTTTTGTGAAATACTAAAGCTGAAAGCTTTTAAAATAAAAGTAGAAATAATTATTTCAGCCATACGTTGGAAATACAAAGAAAACTGAAGTATTACAGTCTAACCTGCATACAATTTTAATTGTAATTTTAAAGAAAAAAATCTCTCATTTCTGCAATAAATCCTGCCTGTCTGGGCTGCAAGGAGGCTGGGTCAGATCTCTGGCTTCTTCTTCCGAGGTTTAAGCATTCACTCGAACCTCAGAGGGGTATAATAAGCCATCTTATGGTTCCTGGCACACTTTCTTAGATGGAAAGGGTGTAGTCCTGTTTCTCGTCTTGTCCCCGCAACTCCCAGTGCAGCCCCTCACGCTGCTCCAGAGGGTTCCCCAACTCTCCAGTGTGTGCTTTAGGAGGGGAGAAAGGGCAATTGTCAAAGGTCTTCTTAGCTCATTTCTGCTGGCGGGAGAGACGCCTAGTTCTGAAACAATGTAAAATGTAGAAGCTCTGTAGAAGTTAAGTAAGTTGATCCAAACTATTTCATACCAGAATCAGCCATCTTGCATATTAAGTGACTGCTATATTTTTTATGCCTAGGGTAAGGAGGTAGGGAAAGGTACCTACTCAGACTTCCTGAGATCTGGAATAGATTTTGCTTCCTTATTGAACAAACCCGAGGATGATGACCAGCTACCTGTTCCAGGAACTCCCAGTCACCAACTATCTAGGATCCGCACATTTTCTCAGTCCTCGATGTGGTCGATGGAGTCTTCGGTTCAGTCGCAGAAAGATGGTGCTGCAGAGCCTCCCCCTGTGAGTACACGGAATGTATATGGAACAACTTTTTTTTTTAATGATGTTCTTTAGCTGTAGATCGTGGGTGCTGTGGAGTTTTTGCATATTTTAGGACAAAGTTGCAAACATGAGACCACATTAAAGGTTCTTGAATGTTCCATTTGGGCAGCTATTATTACTATTCAATTGTTTTCATGGAATTTATATTTTATAGTTAAAATATTGCCTAGGATTGTAAACTGTAATTAGTGGATTGATTGGATAAAGCTTGACTTTACAGTAAAGAGTCAGAGACAATATTAACTTTGCATAGTTAGAACATTTTGTTTGTCAAATTACCTTCAGTGTGAGATTTCAGTATTTCAAGAAGGTGTCTATATATACAATTCTTTAAATGTAATTAAATGATTAAAATTATTATTCAGCTCAAATTATTTAATCTCTTGACAGACTGTTAATATTGACACATTGCAACAGGATTTTAAAAATTTACCTGGATGCCTTGTGCTTCCCTCACTTGGAAGAAGTTAATTAATCTTATATTTCTGACCTACATCAAAAATACGACTCAACAATACAATTTCTAAATTACTTCATAATCTCTGTAAGAATGAAAAAGATGTCATTTTATTATTTTTTTGTTTGTACCAGTCCTTTTAGATGAATGTCCAGGTCTCATTGACTCAGTGGTAGACATGTATAGGATTAACGGTTAAGTATCTGGTTTGAAAACTTTTTGTGTATTTTCTGAAGATTGTTCTAACTTAATTTTCTTATGCAGATGGAACCTGTCCTAACTGCATTGCCAGAAGAAACCCGTTCAGAGGGGAAAATAGGATTTAGCATTTATAAGAAGTATTTTGCTGCTGGGGCAAATTATTTTATAATTTTTATACTATTCTTTCTCAGTGTTTTGGCACAGGTAAGATATTTGGCATCACAAATTAAAATATTATTGATGATTTATGCTTATAGCATTTTAGTGTATTTAACTTCCCAGCGTGTGTTTATGTATGTGATGTGAAATGGTATAATATTTTCAAATGTATTAGAGTTTTTTTCCTCCTTTGAATGAAATTGCTCAGATTATAAATGAGCTAGAGGCTTATTTAGTCTGAGTAATTTAAATAGGACTTCACCAAGCTGAATAGTTTTATATATAATGGAATATACGACTTGGAATCCAGATACCGACCAAACTGCTTGTGCTTTGAGGTCATCTTAAGAGGTACCGACTTGAGGTTGCCCAGATGCCAACCACATGCCCCATTCGTGGATTTTTTTTCCTAAAAGAGGCCTGCCTGGCCCCAGCTTTGCTACACTTTCAGTGTTAGGCACACTGACTTTCATGAGTTCAAACTTTATCTGAAAGTTATGCTTACCTTTAACTCCATCTTGTGCTTTATTCAGGTGTTTTATCATGCTTTTGTAAGTTGCCCTGAATGCTTTACTGTTCTTTGCTCAACAGAGAAACATGGTATAATGAATACATAAATAATATTTGCATAAGGGTAGACCCATCCAATACAGCAGTTTCCCAGATTTCAGTGTGCTAAGAAACAGGTGATTCAGGCTTTCAATTCTTGTTCATGTTTATAGTGCAGTGTGTGAATGTGAGTTACACACTTTCTCCTCGGGTGTAACTCAGAACTTTGTTTGGCCTGGCCATACATTTGTACTTCTGACTTGGTCTTGCTGCAGAACTCCATGTCAGTCCGTTGCTTTCTAAAAATAAAAAAAAGAAGCTTTTGTAACCTCCCCTGGAAAATGGCACAGTAATGCCTCTTATTGCCAAGACAGGCAAAGGGCTATTTAGAAGCCTGGGATATTTATAAGAAGGTGCCGCTGATCCTGTATATGGCAGCTTTCTCCAACTCGGTGTCTTTTCGTTGCATTGGTCTTCAACTCCCAGAGCCTCACAAATCTGGAGGGCACTGGGTTGGGGAAGGCTGCTGCTCAGATTCCTGTGTCCTGCATTCTTTCTTTTTTTCTGCCCATTCCCCCCTCTTTTTTTTAATGCTTCTCGAGAAAAAATACTTGCACTTTTTGGCACATTTCCTAGTCTGTTTTCTTGTTTATAGTTATTGAAAACATTTGCTATACTTCCTTTTGGCCAGAAAAAGGCCCCAAAGGCAGTGTACAATGGGTGAAATGGCTTGACAGTTGAAACTGGGGAATGGTTTAAAACAAAACTGAAAAGCCTTTGTTTCACTTTGTTAAGGTTGCCTATGTGCTTCAGGACTGGTGGCTTTCTTACTGGTAAGCTATTCGTTCTTTTTGTATCATTCAGTGGATCACTTTAAAATGGGAGTTCTCTAAGGGAGTGTAGAATCTGGAAGTCCTTCTGAGACAGCAGGAAAGAGCATGCTTCATGCTTTCAAAGGGGGTTCTTGTGACTCCCCCTGTTAACATATTGCTTTGAGTGACCACACCTTTGGATTTTTAGAAAAAAATCTAGCTCCCCTTCCCATGTTCCCAGAGCAGAACATCTTAGAAAAACTTATTTTCATGTGCTTGGCCCTGCTGTCTGGGGATCACAGAATCAGAGGATAGTAGATTTGGAAGGGTCCTGTAAGGCCATTGAGCCCGACCTCCTGCTCAGTGCTGGACTCCAGTTAAAGCATCCCGGACAGATGGCTGTCCAGCTGCCCTTTGAATACCTCCAGGGTGGGAGAGCCAAGGACCTCGCTAGGTCATCGTGTGGTTGGTTCCATTGGATTCTGGAAGCTGCAGCGCAGCACACCTGGAGGGGCGCAGGTGCAGAAGGTTGTGGTAGGGATGGACACCGGGTGACTTTTACTTGCATGCTTGGGTGGTGGTTTTCCTGGAAGTATCTTGCTGGCACCCTGGGATGCTGGACCGGCTGGATCAGTGATTAAATCCAGCAGCTGTTCTCTTACATACTGAAAAGCAAATCTGAATCCTTTCCTTGCCACTCTCCGTGATATTTATACAGGGCTGATGAGCAAATGAAGCTGAATGTCACTGCAGAGGGAAATACGGAGAAGAATGTGACGGAGGCTCTTGACCTGGACTGGTATTTAGGAATGTATGCAGGTAAAGAGCTTTAAAAATGTGTGGTGTAGTGCACAGAGTGATGTGCTGGAACTTGGAGTTCTGGGTTCTAGTCCCCATTTGGCCAGAAATCTGGCTGGGTTATTTTGACCCATCAGTGACTCCCGGCCTAACCTACCTCGCAGGCTCTTGTTAGTTTGCAACGGGGAAAGGGAGAAGAACTAGGCAAACTGCCTTGGGTTCCGTTCAAGAAGCAAAAGACGGGATATAAATGTACTGTAACCATCATCCTCATCATCACGTTGATGGGTCCAGCTGGCAAGATGCTCGCTAAATAGCAATTGGTCCAAAAGGTTTTCTTTTCCCACAATGAATTAGTTTTGTTTTTGCAGATTAGCTATGTTCTACCTTGTCTCCTGACTTGAACATTTAGACAAATTAAGAATTTTTAGAAGAAGGTTTTTTTTTTTTTTTTAGTATGGATGAGCAGGAGGATTAGAAGTTGCACTTGGTTTCCTTTTTATATGAAAAGACCATCCTGTAAATTAAAAAAAAAAACCCACCCATAGGTGCATTTTTTCCCAAGTCATATAGCAAATTAACTATCTGCAAAGCAAAAATCTGCATTGCATAGTATACAAGAATATAATTTATCTCCAGAGCTGTATTAATAGATTAAAAGTGCAGCATGAAAAATATGTGCATAAAAACTGGAGTAACAGGGGAGGTTCTGTCTCAATGCTCATAAGCCTCTGAACTCAGAATATCTGAAAAAAAGTGGGAATAGTGATGGAGCAACATCTTTCAGGATCTACGGCCCCCTATTACTCTTCATTTTTGGCTATCTAGCTGAACTACAGTGGTCCCTCGGCTCACGAACGCCTCAGTTCATGACCAAATCGGGTCGCGAACAGAAATTTCATAAAAATTTTGCCACAGGTCTCGAACTCTGCATCAGGTGACAATCGCGAATGTGCCTGCCTTCCCTGCATTGTGGGGGGGAGAAATGGCCACGTTTGTGCTGGGGGGGAGATAGCTGCAATTGCACCCCTGTTCCCTGCCCAAGCGCTCCCACCTCCCCCACACACCTGCACGATCTCTGGGTTGGGGGGGAGATGGCCGCAATCTTTGTTGTTCTTTGTCACTTTGCTTCAAATTTTTGTGAGTAAAAAAAAAATAGTTGCAGAACGGATTAACCTTATTTACATTGAACCTTATGGGGAAATTTGACTTGGCTCACAACCTATTTGGGTCATGACCAGATTCCTGGAACGGATTAAGTTCATGAGCCAAGGAGCCACTGTATTTCATAGAGCAGGAAAAGAAGCTAGAATTTTACCAGGATATTGTGTATTTTGGTGTCCCCACTCCCCCCCCCTTCCCTGAACCACCACCTTTAATCCCGCTCTGAGTTCAGTTTTCCAGGGCTTTTTGAGGACTTTTATCGTGTGCATAGTTAAGAAACCTCTTCCTTTCATCATTCCCCTTTCTTAAAGAAGAGCTGAGATGCATTTATGTGTCTTTATTATCCATCGGCTTTGGAGTGTGCACTTTACATACCCAGCATGTTTATGCAGGTGTACTTCCTGAAGGACAGATGAGTGGACAATTTATCTTTCAGGAACATTTTCCACAATATTAGATTTTCTGAGAAATCTCTGATAAGCAATTTGAGAACCACTGTCCTAGATGAGTTCTTTGTCCACCATTTTGGTTAAATGATACTCTGTTTCTGTGTTCTGTCAGCATGTAATCACTATTTCTGTGATGCATTATTTTAATCCAAAATGGATATGACTGTCATCTGACATTCCCATTGGAATAAATAGATTATATTTCATGATACTTCATTTTTTTCCAGGTTTAACTGTGGCTGCAATACTATTCAGCCTACTGAGAAGTTTACTGATATTTCACGTTCTGGTTAATGCTTCTCAGAATTTGCACAACAACATGTTTCAGTCAATTTTGAAGGCTCCAGTGGTGTTTTTTGACACAAATCCTATAGGTAAGTTGCAATCAGCTGTACAGTAGCAGCCGATGTGATACATATATATTAAAACATTTATCAGTTAAAACTTTTTATCTGTTTAAAAAGTTTATCTGCTCCTGCAGAATATCAAAATGGAGTCTTTCTGATGCAGCTAACCTGTGATTCTTGAACAATCTGGCTCTGCATAACTCAAAGTTAGTGTTGACCTTGCATATCTAGACAGATGGAGAGTGCATTTTTTTCATCAGTGATTATTTGAGCTGTTGCACCTGAATGTCTGTTCCTGGATTCAATACATCAAGGTAGCATTAAGCGCAACAAGATTTGGAGGGTGCTTATTCTTACTTTCCTGGGAGCAGGTTCAGTGGAAATCAGTCGTGTCTACTAAGCAGACATCTATAGGATTGCAGTGGAAATGACAAGGATATTCACTCACACTTGTCAGGTTTCAGTGAATTCCTTAGCAGAACAGGATGGGAGTTAAAGTAGTAATCTTCTCCATGGTCTCCGTGCATCACACATATGAGCTTTGCACCTGCCCTGGGCTTTAGTTCATGTCATGGCCCCCTTTGAGGGTTGTCTGACCCTGTTAGAAAGTATTTCTCACTATTTAACTGTCCATCTTTGAAAGTGTGCAGAGTAAGGATGCTGGTTCCATTCATTTCAATAGGCCTACTTTAAGTAGGACTGATATGGGAACACAATTTTATGTATTTAACCCTCTTTTTGGGACAGGAACCCTGCTCAGACTTGCAAAATAAATATGCCTGTTATTTACAATTATAGTAGAGATGATTATCTGAAGTGTCCGTCTTTGCCTTCCTGCTGCCAAAACAGCTGCAATGGTATGAAGCTGATTGCACTCATATTTTATAGAAACCTGTGAGATTCTGAGGGTAGTCTGTCTTTTCTGTGACTTTGTGGTAAATACTGTGATTTGTCTCTTTTTTATGTATGTATCCTGTATTATTTATTTATCTATCTATCAGTTTTGTATGCCATCCATTACTTTTGTCTCTGGATGGCATACAACATTATTTCAAATTAAAATAAGTTAACCATTCCACACTGGCTGGAAAATTATCTTCCTGAGAGCCAGACAAACTTGGTTTGAACTGATCATGTGTCACCAGCAATAGTAATGTGATAGAGTTCTGAAAAACTAAACAACTAAGTGTAGGGAACCAGTTTTGACAATAGCATTGTTAGCCTGGAATGGCGAACTAGATATTCGACTTTCCCCAACCTGGCGCCCTATAAGTGTTTTGGACTACAGTTCCAGTCAGCTCCCAGAAGTACGGCCAATAGTCAAACATTGTAGCTCAAAATATCTGGAAGGTACCAGGCTGGGAAAGGCTGAAATATGCCATTAGCCAGTCAGTTGGTGTACTTAAGAAATGATGCAGTTGCTCGGCAGAAGCTCCCCTGCCTTTACCAGTCCCGTGCCCACTGCTTTTGTTTAAGGAAACATGGAAGACCTTGCCATGTATGGTTTATTTTTGTTTGTTTGTTTATTTATTTATTTAAAACATTTCTATGCCGCCCCATCACAACAAAGCCTTGGGACGGCTCACAACACATAAATAAATACAGAAGTAATAAAATAAATAAATACTAAATTATACAATAAATAACACCCCCCAGTGCATTCTCGGCTAATAAAAAAAACCCCTAGTTAATAAATAATTAACAGTTAAAATGAGATTTAAATAAAAAGGTCTTACCCTGGCGCCGAAAAACAAATAACGACGGCGCCAGGAGGACCTCTCTGGGGAGCGCATTCCATAGATGGGGCGCCACCGCAGAGAAAGCCCTCCTCCGAGTACCTAACCTCCTAATTTCTTTCACGGAGGGTTCCGGGAGAAGGGCCTCTCCTGCAGATCTCAAGGGGCGGGAGGGCATATATGGACATAAGCGTTCCTTTAAATAACCAGGGCCCAAGCCATTCAGGGCTTTATAGGTCATAACCAACACCTTGAATTGGGCCCGGACTTCAATCGGGAGCCAGTGGAGCTGACGGAGAACTGGGGTTATATGAGCACAACGCCCAGTCCCTGTCAGCAACCTGGCAGCTCTATTCTGCACCAATTGAAGTATCCAGATTTTTAGCATGGTCTTGTAAGGTTGGAAAGGAAAGTTAAGTTGTATTTTCATGGAAATGGGAAAAATGGATCCCTCTGTCATACACACACAAAACTACACAAATACAAACGGCACATGCGTGTCTTCTCTCAGGGTGCTAGACTTTTTGCATTGTGGCAGTCAGGGTTGGCCTTCCTTCAACCAGCTGGGAACTGAAGAGACAAGTGGTAGTTTGGGGGATGCGGTTTGCAGTTAAGTCGTTTTGGAAAAGAGGTAGGGGAAGTGAACCGCTAACACCAAATAGGACTCTAGATGTATTCTGAATGAATTCTTTAAAAAACAGACCTCACAACATCATGTTGAACATGGCTAATTAAATCCCTTTTGCTTGTTTGAAAATGTTAATCAGCTGCCCAAATAGATGCATACCGAAATAAAAATTTTAAATGAGCTATTCAGGCAGCTCAGAGCACAAGACTAACAATTCAGTTCACAACCCAAAGATTTAACATGCATATAAAATAAATTATAGTGAGCATGGACACATTTCTTCCCCACACAGGGCCTTTTTTCCTTATACACATGCATGCTTAAGGATGGTTTGACTTTTCTTAACCATGTTTAAGTGTTAAAGTCTGGTTAAGGGTTGTCTGCAAACCAGGATTTGAAATGATAGATTGACGCAAATTTGCAAATTATGGTTGCAACCTTACTTGTATATTCTGCCTCTGTTGAGGCAGAATAATACAATTGTATGCAGGGTTTTTACTGTGGGAGATCTCTCAGATTATGCCAAGCTACGCAGCTGGCAGAATTTTCTGCCCTCCGTGCTGAAGAGGGGTTGGGAAGATGCTCTCTGTTGCGCTGAGCACTGAAGCAGAATGAACCCGTGGGAGCATCTTTATCAGCTCCAGCGCTCATCCCAATATGAAGGGCACCTGCTTCTGCACATTGAGTGGTGTGGAACACGTGGAAGAAGGGGAAGAGTTAGTGGAGAGCACAAATTACAGCTGCTTAGTAAGCCGTGACAAAATGTGTCTGTTCTTTGCATCAGCCTTGTCTGTGGACTGTGGTTTTCTTTGTGCTGGCTCAAGGCAGTTTGTGCCACTTCTTAGGCATCTTCTTAGGCATAAGCAGCTCTGGCTGGTGTCCCCCCAGAGCCCAGTGATTGTGTGGGCAAACTAAACCAAGGTTCCACTGCAGATCCTTTTTAACTAAAAACTTTTGCTACCGTCCTTTATCATATCAAATTTAAGGGTGGGGTAGAACATAAAACAAATACAAAAACAACAACAGATGGGAAACCAAGAGAACCACAGGGGGGAAATCCTTCAAGTTTTCTTGATTAAATTAATAAAATCTCTTAAAATGATTGGCTACATAAAATGTTTTTGCCTAGTGCTTGATAGATAGCAGTCAGACCAAATAGCTAGTAGATAACTAGCAGCTTTATGGATAGCTAGTCAATCCAAATGGAAGTGGATTTTCATGATGGGAGTATTAATGCCATAGGCAAATCACAGTTGGGCGTTACAGCCACATTAATCCATGCAGATGCCTGACATTTTGGCAAAAAAGTCATAACATTTCCATGTTCCACTAGCTGGTTGGTCAGTCAGTCAGTCAATCAATGAAATGCCGCATGAATCGAAGATATGGCCAGTGTAACATTGCTTTCTGTTCACTTAAATACCAGTAAATGTGGCTTCCAGCATGTTTTCAAAGCTTTCTGTGAGTCGAGCACAAGAGGGCAGCATGAGCTATTTTATCTGGTCCTTGCTCTACCACTAATTCTTTGTAGAGGGGTGGGGATGGAGGGAGGCAAAGATTTCTTTTGACTATTTTTAGTGTCATGTTTTGAGGACTGTAAGTAGCAATTCTTCAGGTTATATATTAAGCCACCGGGAATGTGGTTTTATGGCATTCATCATATGCAAGTAAAACATTCTCTTGGCACCTTCTTAACCTAAGCCGCCTGCCTGTCAGCCAAGAAGCGTCTGCCGTTGCACTTTATATTTTCTGATTACTGATTAGCGAAGGTAGAAAAAGTAGGCTGTAATTCTGAGCCCAGGGGGAGTTAGTCCCATTGAACTCAGTGGGACTTGCTTTCAAGTCAACATGTATAAGATTGAGCTGTGAGTGCTGTTTTTTCTCTTGTTTTGCATGTCAGTTGGTTTGGGCTGTCAGTAGAATCCCTCTGCAGCTCTTGCTTCTTCGTGGATAATTTGAATTCATGTTAAATATCCTATAGTGGGAGTTTATGGACCTGATGCTGGCCTGACTACCAGTAGTCCACATGTAGTACTTGAGTTGGTTTCACGCCAGCCTGTAAGGCCAAGCACAGGAAAACCCTGTGTAATGGCAGCCCCGTAGGTGGTGTTCACATCTAGATCTGGACAAGAACTTGGGCTAAATATTGAATAGGCATGGAGGTAGGCACAGTTTAGATCCAACTTCTGAGGACTGACTTCCATTATTTTGTATGTAAGACTCTCTGGTAGTAAGAGAAAGCAAGACCTCTGCCTTAGACAGTGGAGAGCTGCTAATCGTAACAGTAGGATAGCATTCAGACAGATGGACCGCTGATTGCATTTGATCTATCTCAGCTTCATAGGTTCACCCAAACCCCAGGAGAGACAGGCATACATATGCACAGGGCTTTAAAATACTTAAATATTATTGCTTTCATAGAATGGTGACTGTTCAAATTCCTATGTTATGCCATTCTAGGATCTGTTTTGCTTGTTTTTGTTTAGTAAAGCCTACAGACCCAACCCACCTGAATGCTGTTTTCCTGTGCAAGTTCCGTTAAAATCAATTTATTTCAACTGGGTTTACATAGGAAATCTTCCCAGTGGATTGTTCCAGTAATTCCTGGAAGTCAATGTATGTAAGGAAATAAGACCCAGAGGATAGTTCTCTGAAAACCTGTA